CCATTGGGTTAATTCTTATCACTTCTGGACAGATAAAGTGACTGTCAAGAAACATCTCTGGCTCATTTATAATCCATTAAGAAACTTCACTTCTGGGAGGGAAGAATGTAAATCACTGTAGTTGGCACTTCAGTTGATTTGAAGGGTAGATGTGCCAGTGTGAGCGGAAATGAAAGCAGGGCTTGTTGCCAACTTGGCAGTGTAAACTTCTGGAAAGATACCAGTCAATAACATCTCCTTTCTTGTCTCCAAGTTCACTTGTGTCACTTGAAACAAGATGCCATCAACCAAGCCAAAAACTTCCAAGTTCTATACTCACGGCCCACCCCATTAATGAGATTTGTGTTAGGAGTACAGTACCAGGGACAACAGAACCAGCTATTCCAAAGTACTTCATAGTGACACCATGCAAATAGAAGTTTCCTAAGCTATAGGTACATATCTTGTACACAGGCAGGATAAGCAGAACTTTCTGAAAGAAGAATTAAAGTAATGTTTCTTGCACAGTGGCAAGCACAGCTAATTGACTTTCTGAATATAAAATATTAATTCAACATATAAATATGAGAAGAAGGAAGAAATAAATTCACTTAACACAAATTTTCTCTGTATTGGTAACCTACTAAAATCCAATCACATCAGTGGTCAAAGGAGAGATTCCTCCGATGTTCAACCCATTCATCCTCACTGTTGATCTAGGGCACTGGCAGTAGACAGCTCAATCCACCACAGGTGTGTAGAGCACAGAAAGTCTTGTTGGGTAGGATTCCTCCACTTCAGTATCATGAAACCCATCCTAAGACAAGCTGCTGCTGCTTGGGACTCAGCAGGAACGGGTGTCTGACAAAGTGATTGTGTCAGGGATCTTCCAGTGTGGCAGTGTTAGTTACACAGACAAAGCTGCAGTCTTGATCCAAGGAGCCTGTGTACTAAAGATGCAGCCCAGCAACAGTGAGAGATCGGATGTTTCTTCCAGCTGGAACATCTAGGACTGTAGCATGCCAGGCAAACTGCCTTGGCCAGGTTTCTCAAATGCTGTGTACCCAAGCTTTTAGTAGTGTTCTCTACATAGAGAACACTACAGTTGAGCAGCAGCTATTCCTCTGGGACTCAATGTCACACACAAATCCTCAGCAAGTAGAGAAATTCATCTGCCAAGGACACATCCAGAGAAACTTTGAACTAGTGCAGGATGGGCAGCATCCAGTCCAGGTGCTTCATGCTCCTTTTGTACTCCTGTAGGCAAGATAATCCATCCTCAGCTTCTCCCTGAAACAAAGCTGAGTAATGGGGTCCTTCCTAGATTGCTAAAGGGAAAATAGAGTCTGTCTTCTACGTGCACTGCAGTGAACTTTAAGAAAATTGTAAGAAACAGCCACCTGAGCTCTTGTACACCACTTCTAGGACCCAAGACAGAGTTACATCAGCAAAATTAAGGCAGCTTCAAGGTTTTATTAACTCAACGGTGCAGTGACATCCACCCCATAGTCTTCTGTGAACCTGCTGAGAGTGTGGTAGAGTTGGCAGGACAGATTTCACTCAGTCCTTTAGTGGGTCTGATCTGCCACTGACTGGAACTTCAAAGCAGATGAGAAATGTGACTTGCTCAGACTAGCTTTCATGGATGGTGACACAAGCTTCAGGGGAGAGGTGAATTTGGCATGTCTTAACTTGTATAGAGAGAGGAATTTCCTTTAAATTATTATTGCTCTACCAGCCATAAAGCCTCAGATTTCTGTTTGTACACGACACTTCTCCAAACAAAGGCATTATACTGCATGTGTAAAAATCCACCCACTGGGGAACTGCAAAACTGAACACGCCTTCTGGAGAAGTAGCTTCTAGGAAAAAAGTCAACAACTCTAGAAAAAGGACAACAATTTTCATAAAATTGAGAGAGAAAACAGAAAAATCCCTTACGCTTGTATTTCTGCTTTCTAACACATGGTGCATATGTTTATCTCTTTCACCGCATGAGAAAATGGCTGCACAGCTGCCTGGAAATATCAGTGCAAGGTCCCTCCTCCTCAGTACAGCTTAGTCTCGTTAATCTTTCCAAGGTCTCCCCTTTCCACTGTCTATTGCACTTCCATCTTCTGGGCCATCACTGTTATTTTCTTCTGTCAAGGTCACTCTTACTTTTGTTCTTGTCCCATTTTTATTACCTCCCCCCTTCTTCTGTTACCATCTTTCATGCAAGTGCCACTCAGCCTCTCTGTTGTCTCTCTTGCTAACTCTCTTGACGAGCAGAGCAGCTGAAAGGCAGGAAATTTTTAGAAATAGGAGAAACCACAGCTTTCAAACCTGGCTACAGGAGCAATGTTTCTGCTGTCCCTTATAAGCAGAAGTCACTGTAAAGAGAGTCTGTGCCCTTTGCTCTGGGTGAAGATGCTGTGTTCTCACATGGTGTCTCAGTTTATAACAAAAAGGCTTCTGCATGCTGACTAAAATAGCAGAGGAGAGACAGAGCAGAAAGGGCTGGGAGGTGGTGTTCAGCTGGAACAAATAGTGCTTCCAACTGAGTATCAGGGTAGTCTATAGTGTCAACTGCTCTCTTTCTGATTCACAGCTCAAGAGACCTGTGTTTTCCACAGCCCTGTGTTCAGCAGGTAGTGTGGCACATGCACTTCTGCAAATTCCAAAGCAGATAGGTGATGCTCACTCCTGGCAGTGATCTGGCCATTGACATTCCTCAATTAGGCATTCAGCTCCATCCCTGCACCCCGAGTCCAGCAGCTTAAAGCACTACCACCACCCTTGCTGCATAGTTTGCTCTCAGAGCATGAGTGACAGAGGGTGTCCTCTCAGTGCCCCAGAAGCAGGACAATAGCACAGGATTCACAGAGCCTGAGGGAATGATTTGCTGGAGCACACAGTGTTGGCCTAGTGCCACTACCATGGAGGTCAGGGACAAATCAGCCATTGGCTTATGAAGCAGCTGGTACTATTGAAAAATGCCACCCTTGGGCTCTGTGAACTTGGGCTGTGTTCCCTATCCCACAGTAGAACTGAAAACATTTTTCATCCACATGGAGAGGATGGGCAGTAGAGAAGAGCTATGCAGACAAATGTCCCTTTCTTCCTAACACCACTTTGAGATCTGTCCTTTAACCAGTCTCCTCCACAAACTGACAAAATCACAATCCTTTAAATAGGAACTTCTTGTTTTTTGCATACGCAAATTTGTATGCAAGTAGAAGTGAGAGAGCCCATGAGTTGTCAGAACCCACCTAAGGCCACATCCAAAACTTCAGCTGAATTTAGCTTCTTTCAACAGCTGATTCTGTTTGGTAGTTTTTCTCCCCTTTTAAACAGATGCTCAGAAGCAAGCAAACAGCAACAAATTAAATATCCTGGGAGACCTGCTATGCATGACTGTCATAGTTTAAGCATCACTGTTGAGCTTATCCTGGAGTCATATCCAGGCAGTGCAGTGCCAGCAAGTAGAAGGACCATCTGAAAACAATTTTAAAACTTAAGGTACACAATTGAAGTAATGAAACATGGAAGCAAAGACCTATAAAGACACTAAAATGAAGCTAAAGAGACTTGCCAGTGTCAATAGACAAAATCTGCTGCACACCCAGCCTTAACAGGAAGCAGGAATTCCTTGCCTAGAGATGTCTTCTGAACAAAAAGTCATGGAAATTATAAAGTCTCTAAGAGCACTGTCCCTTGGATGGCACCAGCCCACAGGTCTATGGTGAGATGGCAAAGTGCATTCCTCTGAAGTAATACATGCGGTTATCTCAGAGCACATTACAAAACTGAGGTGGAGATGGCATTTATATTGAGGTTCAAGTCATGCTTTTTTATAATGGAAATGTAATTCTGTGGCCCTTTAGTGATTCTTCAACTGTGGAGGTCCAGAGTCTAAGGTCTGGCCTTCATAAATGGCAATTTGCTCATGCTCAGTTGACTCTGATGTTGCCCTTTGAATGGACACATCAACAATATGAGTTAAATTGCCTCACCCATTTCCACTAAAGCGCTTCCTTTTTTATACCATTTTATTAAAGCAAACTGAAAGCAGAGATGACAACTCAGACCTGCAAGAGTGAACTTTGGCTGCCGTGTGAACTGTTTACCCTGACCACTGTGTAGTGTCACCCACTAGGCTCCAAAATCAACATGAACTACATGATCTGATGGGCTTAGATAACATTCACCAACAGCAGATAGAGAAGCACTGGAGAAGTAAACTGTCATACTCCAACTACTGCCTCGTGAATTGCAACACTGCTCAGGTGTAATATACACCTCCAGCCAAAGAAAGGACACACACAGCTTATAGATCAAATCCCACTTTCCTCACCTACACAAAAGGGGACTTAAGCATGGGCCTAGATACTGTTAAATTGTAGTATAGGGGGCTGCTCATAACACAAACTTTTGCAGGCACTTCGTCACGCCTGCTTGTACTAACTTAAAAGAAGCTACACACTTAAAAGTTTACCCCCTTTCAGGATATGGCTCTAGCACAGTAGTCTCCTAGGAATGCTGCAATCACTGATACCTTGCACTGTCCTCAATCTGTCTTTCAGAACTCTGCCCGATGCTCCCTGGAAAATTTCCCGGAGTGGTTCAGCTGACGGTAGCATTAAAAATCACAGCATGTGTCTATAGGGTTCTTTGTATCAGACATTCAGAGATAGCACACTGCAAAGATGCAATTGTTGCAGCTATGTGCTCTTGAAAGACTGCTTCTGTCTCAGGGAATGTCTTTACCAGAGATGACCATCTCCAAGAAGACAGCTGCAGATCTCAGCCAGTGAAAATATTTTATTCCCTAGCAGCTGTATAACTTCAAAGCTGTATAACTTTGCTGCAAAATTCACCACCCAAGTTTTGCCCTTAATTTGAGGGTCATCCATACACAAAACCTCTTAAATCTTTCCACTGGCACACTAAATTAAGAGTAACACTATTATTCATGCCAGTCACTGCTACGGCAGCTTCCCTGCCACGCTAGTTTCCCAGGACTACTGTTGAACAGATACCTTGTGCTGTCCTCATCTTGTCCTTGAGGATTCCTCCCATTATTCCTTGGAAATTTTCCCAGAGTGGTTCAGCTTACAGCAGCACTAAGAATCACAATCACATGTCAGCAGATGGTTTTGTATCAGATGTACTGGGATATAATGCAGTATCCAGATACAATTATCACAAAGTTAGCTTAGTTATATCTCCTCTTGGTTATTTAAAAAACAAAGAAAGAGAGAAAGAAAGGAAGGAATAAATAGCAAAGTAAGTCAACAAGAAACCACAATCCCTTCCCTAAGCAGTAACCAGGCTCCTGTGCTTTGGAACTTTTCCTAATATAACAAAAGACACCATGAAGACAGGAACTTTGGCAGCAGTGGTTTTGAACTCCACAACCTCCTCTGGTTTTTTACGCATATGTCACCGGAAATATAATGGACTGCTAGGGAAGCAGTCAACGTCCAAATGGATATCTAAGCAGCAGCAAGCCTCTGGAAGTTACTATTGCTGGAATTGAAAAGAGATTTCCAGCGAAGCAGCCCCAAATTCCTGTGTTAACCGATGTCCTGTTTTGCCTGACCACTGTCACCATAGTGACTGCTGGAGCTGCCGCCGAGCCACTGCCCTGCGGCTCGGGCCGGAGGCGAGCGGGGCGCTGTGCTGGGAATGAGGTGATTTAGGGCCCGGTGATGGAGATGTGGGCCGTGGAACAGGGCGCTGAAAGCAACCTTGGGGTGCACTGTGGTGGGAAAAACAGCTTAAAATGCAAAGAGCCAGCACCGCCAAAGCTCTTGCAATGCTACGAGAGGAGTCAGAAGATGAAGGAAAAGGATGAGGAGCTTGAGGAAAGAAGGCATGCACAGCAACGCAGCAAACACGGTTTAGCGGAAGCTGGAACAAGCTGTTTCATTCCCCTCGACATCATTTGTGTGGACTGCTCCCTCTCCTGGGGAAAACTTGCCAAAAAGAAAAATCACAACCTAAACCGTTTCTTCAAGCAAACGATGCACCCACAGAGCTCACAGGCAGACAGTTCCCATGCTTCCAGGTTCAGGAGAGTAGGGTGCAAGACCCCCGTGCTGCCCTTCCCAGTGTGTGGGTCTGCCCTGGCTAGAGGAGCCCCGGGTGGCCAAACCAGCTGTAACCTCCAGACCCCGGTGCACAGCTAAGCACCGCTCCCACCTGCACAAACATTATTATTGTCTTCTCCCCGCTGTGGTGCTGCTGCCAAGCACCACCCAGACCATCCTCCGCTCTCAAACCAGTGGAGCTACCCGGTGGCTCAACAGGCGAGGATCCAGGAAACAGTGCTTGCAAGTACTTTTCAGAGTGAATGCTGGAGTACAAATTCCCCTTTGCTGGGAATTGTACAGAAATCATCAGTTCCAGTCTTTAGTGCTGGTAAGGACTGACAATTTTAGCCACAGAAATAAATTTCGGAGTCTGTGAGCAAGAAAAAGGAAGGACAATCTTGAAATACTCTTGTGGTGAGAAATATCACTTGGTGTGTGCAGCCTGGAGGAGTCTGAGGGGAGACATCATTGCAGTCTCCAACTTCCTCATAAGGGGAAGAGGAGGGGCAGGCACTGATCTCTTCTTTGTGGTGATCAGTGACAGGATCTGAGGGAATGGCATGAAGTTTAGGTTTAGGTTGGATATTAGAAACAGTTTCTTCACCCATAGGGTGGTTGAGCACTGGAACAAGTTCCCCAGGGAAGCAGTCACAGCACCAAGCCTGACAGAGCTCAAGAAGTGTTGGACTGATACTCTCAGGCACATGGTGTGACTCTTGGGGATGGTCCTGTGCAGGGCCAGGAGTTGGACTTGATGATCCTTGTGGGTCCCTTCCAACTCAGCATATTCTGTGATTCTGTACCTAATCTTTACTCCTTTAGGATTCCAAAGTGCAGTTAAAATCTTTGCAATGAAGCTAGCTCAGAAGACCTTGCAATAAGATTAGAACCAGCTGGTGAAAAATGGCACGTTACAGCAGCCAGTAAATATCCACAGGAACCAGCCCTGTAGAGGTGAAAGGCTCTGCTGAGCTTAACAGCTCATGAGCGTATACCATATTATCTGATACTGGTGTATGACTAATACCTTCTTCCTTCTAACTCCTTGACCATTTGATGATCTCTGCTGTAGGAAAGATATCATTTAAATGCACAAAATTAAAAATGAGAAAAGAATTATTTCCATTTTACAGGGGGAAGAAAGTGGGATAGGTTTGCCTGTAAGTAGGAAGCAGTGGCAGGGCTGTAAAAAACCCAAAGTGGTACATTCCAAATCCCTGAATTCGACCAAAGTCATCCACCTTGTACACTACCAAGTGCTATGACAGCTTTGTGGAAGCTTTCATCCTGGTGATGCAAGGACAAATAAAGCCCTGCTTGATTCTTAATAGTCCAGGAGAGTCATCATATGATACCACGTCAGGCAATCATGCAATCAGCAAAGGTCACAAGACACAGAGCCATTCCTTTTGGCTTTACAGCTGCTTTCCACAGCCAAGACTCCTCCTTCTTACACCATTTTACAGTGAAGTGCAGCAGCACTTGTGCCTGCCAAGCACTGCGAAGCCCTACCATAAGTCAGGTCCTGTTAGAGGCACATAATTTTTTAGTGTCTACAGGTGCCAACAAGAGAACCATAATAGATTTTCAGCATCTAATTAGTCTAAATAGATTCTTACTGACTGCAACTGCAGCTGCTTGGCAACATAAATGGGGTGCAAGTCTCACCTGTGCAGATATGCTAGGCTAGGGTTGAAGAGGGAAGCTTTTCCAAAAGATAGAAAGGAATGTAGAAAAGTCACTGTTGTCCTACATCTTCTACAAGCTAAAAGAGGAAAGAGGTCTTCCAATAATTTTACTGTTCTAACTGTGAGTTACAGCTACCTAATTCGAGACTCATACTACATACATAAAAGTTTGCATGACGAGGAAAGGTCCTTCTCCTGAGGAACTTTTAGCTTTATTAGACTTACAGGCTTTATTAGGTCACAGGTAGTACCATCTCTGTTTTGCAGACAGAACACAGATCAGGAGCCAGACTTCAAGTGCTTCAGTGATGTGTAAGGCAAGTCTAGTAAAGGCAAGCCAGAAGGATACACAGGAACAGGAGATGTGATAAACATAAGGTGGAAGAGTGCAGGACTTTAAAAAATAATATCCATTACAACCTTGCCTGGGCAATGCAGCCAACCAGTCTGATTCCCAGGCACTCAAACAAACTGCTCTTCTCCCACAGAAACTGCCCCTCTGCTGCTGGAGCTGTAGCATGGTATGGCAGTCATTGCCTCAGACTCCAGAGTGTGGTTGTCCAGACTCCTTTGCTTGTCACCAGCCCACCTCTATCCCAGATCATGGGTGCAAACTGCAGTGTGTGTGTGTGTGTGTGTGTGTGTGTGTGTGTGGAGTTCCATTCTGCCTCCCTTAGCTTGCTACTTCTGGCAGATGCATTTGTCAGTAAGCTGTGGAAAAGCTCAGTTCTCAGGGCCCTTAACCCACTGATAACCATGACTACTCACCCACTAATTAAAAAGTTCAAGGGCACACAAACAGCTTGTAACAGACAACCAAGATTTCCTGCATCTCTGACCTCTGTCATCCCACCAGACACTGGACATCCCTGTCAGTGTCAGGGAATTCTTATACCTGCCCAGAAGGTGATGCATCAAGTCTTTTCTCTGCACCTTAACTAGTATTTAGGAGATCAGTGCTGTTTCAGAGTCTGTCACTTCTGTCACTGCTGGGTTCCCTTAAGGAAGCCAGTTTGGTTTTTTGTGCCCCAGTATCTCCATCACTTCTTGATAATTCTTGATCCAAAGAAGGCATGGGCAAAAGTAAGAGTCCAGAGACTAAACTGCCTGGTTTCTGTGAGAGCAGCAAGACAGGCTACACAACAAAGAAAAAGGGCCACATAGCCTGGATTGAAGGAAGGCCAGGTAGTGTTCAGCTACATTTTTCACTATTTGTATTCATCCCTAATTTTCATTAAGACTTCATAGAAATTGATTTACCATGTCTGTTTAGATAATAAATACCTTGCAGTGTGGGGGAGAATAGCAAGTAAACCAAACATAAGAGTTCAGTATTCTAGAAAGAGATGTTGCCTAGGTGGCCAGGATATTCCTACTACTGATGGCACATAGCACGGAGGTGTGACCTCACAGCAAATATTAAATTAAAAGTACTGCATAGCAACAGGACAGGCAGCAGCCAACTTGTTCTCACTTGATTTTGGGAGCTGTAAGACCAGCCAACCACCCCTCCCCCTCAAGAATGCATACAGCATTCCCAAGGCAAGTGTTAATGCTGGATCTCAACCAAGAAAGAATTCCTATAGACCCAGGGGATGAGAGGAGGATGTTACACTGCTTGCTTCTTTCCCCTTTCCCCCTCATGCCCCATTCATCCTGTACTTGTACTGCCCCTGGCATAAGGGCCTTTAACACAGTGGCCAGCGGCTCCCAGCAGGATGTGAGGCACAGCAGCACACACTGCCTGCCTGCCCTTGGCAGGAGTTGTTCTGACTAATGGAAACAGCAGAAACTCGAAAGACAGGCATGGATAAGTCTGGAAAGTGCTGAAGGGGGAAACTCCAGGTGGAATGCAAAAGGATTAAAACCAGCAAGAGCACAGCAGGATTCAGCATCAAGTTATTTCCCAGTTGCCCTTGCCGAGCATGGCTGGTTGTTTTCTTCCCCCAGGTAACATTCTGATGCGCTCCTGGGATACCTCACAGTACAAAACAATAAATGGCCGAGTAGCTTGTAACTAACACACATTCGTCTCTTAAGTGGAAGTGGGGCTGCAGGGCCAAGCAATCCTTCTCTTGGAAACTGAGTGCCACCTTGTGCTGGGAATGGTAACAGTCAATGGATAAAACCCAGCTTGTCCAGAAAAGCAAGGGAGAGAAAGGGGACTAGAAGCCGTCGATGGAGCAAAGCTGCTTTAGGCGTTTTGGCTTTTGGAGATCTCTCCCTGGTACCAACCAGCATCACTCCCAATATCCCGCTGTAGGGCAGAGTCTGCTTTTTGAAGGGACAGGTGGGCCCTAGCGAGCAGCTCTTTGCAGGTATGCTGTGACCCCAAACAGCAGCACAAGTCAGACCTCAGCTGTAACCGTGCACACAGAGCTACCCCTGGAGGTGTCAGCTCTGTCCTTGGCACAGGCAAGTTCAGGGAGAAACATGGTGTCACCTCAGACTGTAAAGTTTTGCTGAGTGTCACTGACATTCCCACTGGAGCCTGGTTTGCAACAGGTAAACCTGTGAGTAGTGCAGGTGTGGAAGATGAACCAGCAAAATGCAACAAGAATTTTACAGAGCAATTTCCAAATGCAAAATACTGCTAACTGAAACCCAAGTGCAGGCGAGGGAAGGCAGCTGGCTTGCTTGGGGAAGGTAATAGCAGGGTTTGAGTTTCTTATTGTTTCTTTTAAAATTCAAGGCTTTTTTCTAAAGATGAGTTAAATTCCATCTGGTCAAATTATATGCTGAAAATGAACTTCTGGAAACGGCTGCTTCTCTACACTGATTAGCATAGTCAGCCTCATGGAAATGTTTTATTTGTTAGTTTGTTCAAAAATGAGAGGTTGTTACTGTGTGCAAATGTATTTCAAAGTCAGCCTAAAAGACTTTGCACTGCTGTGGGTCACTTTAGGTTTAGTCTTTTTACAACTTGAACATTTTCACAAGCTGGCTATAGGATTGGAGACACTAGTACTTTGAGTTTTATTTATCTCAAGGTTCCTTCACAAACTTAAGTGGGGAAAAAAAAGCAGCTTCTGGAAAGTAGTTCAGTAGCAAGGGAGGAATTCCCTTGCAAGCACCTTGGAAAGGAACAGGGTGTGAGTATCCTTTCATGAAAACTGCTCACAATCAGGATTCAGTAACATGAATTTTGAAGGCAAGACTACAGCTAGGTACTCCTAAGGATTAAAACGTCCCAAGGACAACACTGTTTTCTCTTAGAACAAGAATGGTAAACCTAGGAAATTCAGAATTCAAGTTATTTTCAAAAGAAATCTGACTGTGCCACAGAAATGCAATTAAGAGTGCAAAGCTCTTATCCCTAAGGGTCTTACACAAAGCACAATTCCAAAGCTACACATCTAAGCAGTGCCTCTGTCCCCAGCAAGATCACAGATGTAGATAAAGGCTACCTCTAGGGACATACAAGGCGCAGTCAGACAGATCATTTTTACCATCAGTGATTAATCACCCCGACTGCACCGGGCACAGGCAGGCACATCTCAGCTTCCTGACAGAACATAACAACACATCCTAAGGGGGAGGGAATACCATCACTGGAAACTTGAGAGCAATTAGGACAGAGAGACCACCACCAGGGCTGAATTTGTCTTCCATTTCCCTCTCCCAGATTCTTGCCCCCTTTGGCATTTGCAGCGCACAAGTTCTGCTGTAACAGGGCAGAGGAACATTATCAGTGACATCACCCACTTCAGAACCAAGGCGGCCAAGCGGGGCTGACGTTGGTTCCCAGCAGCAGGGCCACTCTTGGCTTCTTTGGTGCAGCTCCTGCTGGGAGCACCGCTCTGGGTTCTTGCTGACTGTGAGCTCTGCAGCCATAGCACGAGCTGTGAAGTGGTTTTTTTTCCAGTCTCCAGACCTCTCCCCTCTCTCTGTAGAAGCACCACTTCTGGGCGGCAGCTGCATCGGGCGTGCAGGTCAGCTGCAAGGGTAGAAGTCTGATAGTGGAAAAGCCCTTTAAGGAAAGAGCAAAAGATGGGGTAGAACATTAAACTCCCAGAGGGAAGGAAGGAGCAGGAAGCAGGAGGACTGCATGACCCAAATATTTCCCATCAGGGAAGCGTACCATTTAACTGAATGCTCGATGCCATTGAAATGGTACCTCTGTGCTCTGCCTGACAGCGCTGTGAGAAGGGGTATGTACATATGAACTAATTACTGATTAGTCATAACACCATGCATGTGCACTAAAACATATGCATGCTTTATTATAGCATTTTTACTGACAGCGTAATAACTGCCCAGCCTAACAGAGAAGTGTCAGACATGAGCAGGCATGAGAGAGTGACCAGCTCCTCCCTTATCTAACTTGTGTTCTCACTAGCCAACAGCAATCATTTTCTCTTCTTTCCTACCAAACATTCTCTGAAAGTTCTGTAGGTCCTGTCCATCCTGACAGACCTTGTCATTAGAGCAAAGCTGCAATGGCTCAGACCAAAACAGATCCTGACATCAGCAGAGTCAGACAGAGAGTTTCTTTAACAATGCATACTTTGAGGGCACACCCATGGCTGGATCCCCAAGCTTGCTCTTGCTTTTTAAGTTGGAAAGTATTATCTGCTGAAGCATTAGCAGTTTGGCATTATGGGAAGGTAATCCCTCCTGGACTGTTTCCTACTGTGACTGGATGGGCCATGGCTAATCTTGGCTCTAGGATATTTTGCACTTGAGCTACAGGAGAGGACCTAATCTCTGGATCTGGAAAGACTACTCTTCTGTCTTGGCATTCAGAACAATTCAAGAGATTTTGGTAACCCTGAACTACCCAGCAGTCCTGTCCTAATGTTACACATGGTTTATGCAAACATGAGTACAATCACATCCTATCCATCACATTTCTATGATTGTCATTCTCTGCCTTAGATCACAGAATCACAGAGTGGTTTGGGTTGAAAGGGACCCTGAAGATCACCTAATTCCAATCCCCCTGCCATAGGCTGGGGCACCTTCCACTAGACCACAGCCCATCCAGCCTGGCCTTGAACACTTCCAGGGATGAGGCACCCACAACATCTCTGGGCAACCTGTTCCAATATTTCATCACCCTTACACTAAAGCATTTCTTCCTAATATTTAATCTAAACCTACTCTCTTTCAGTTTGAAGCCATTCCCCCTTGTCCTATCACTGCATGCCCTTGTGAAAAGTCCCTCTCAAGCCTTCCTGTAGGCCTCCCTTTCAGTGCTGGAAGGTGTTCCAATGTCTCCCTGGAGCCTTCTCTTCTCCAGGTCAAACGAATCCAGCTCTCTCAGCCTCCAACCTCAAGGGGCATGGGGTGTTCCAGCCCTCTGATCATCTTTGTGCCCTCCTCTGGACCAGCTCCAGAGATCTCTCTCTGTCCCAGCTCCATGTCTTTCCTGTGCTGAGCACTCCAGAGCTGGATAAAGCATTCCAGGTGGGGTCTCATGAGAGTAGAGGGGGAGAATCATCTCCCTTGACCTGCCTACTACACATCTTTTGATTCACCTGTTTACCACCAATTCTGTTGTAAAATGTTGCAGCCAAACACAGTAATTTACACAGAATCACAGAATATTCTGAGTTGGAAGGGACCCAAAAGGATCATTGAATCCAACTCTTAAGTGAATGGAGACTGAAGCAAAAAAGACTGCAAATCTGTTTATGAAATAGAACTGACTTCTGGTGAGCATCATAAAGCATCAGTGGAAAAATCTATGGTTTGTTGGATCCCTTGATAGCTCCACACTTGACTGAAACTCACTACCACAACCAGAAATCTTTGCTAATTAAGCTAAAACGATTCCTGGGCAACATTGTTCTTCTGGCCCTGTACCTGTTTCATCTCTGAGTTACCTGTACCTGTAACAAGGAGTCCTCCAACACCTCAGTTTGTTTCTGTGGCAGGAACTGCTCTGATCAAATTTCATGCAAGGATGAATCCAAATAAAATTACAGTTAAATCAAATGGAATGAAGTAATAGATTTCCTTTGTCTGTGGGAAGAAGGAAACAACCCGTATAACTTGCAATAACAAAAATATTTTTAAAATATTTGTAAATAAAGTATGTAAACTCAAGCACGACTGCCACAGAAGTTCCTTTGGTGGGCAAAAAAGGAGCTATAACAGGCAAAAAAAGAGCAAATACATAGTTACTGTTGCTGCCAGGAAGTGATGCTGAAGAACAACATTCCACCATAACCTCGTTACCTGAAATCAAGAGTTTAGGAAGGGGCAACAGAGATTATGCAAGGCCATAGGTTTACTTAAAACCCAGCCCAAACACGAGAATACTCACTGGGGAAGGGGATTTAGGAAAAGGCATGATACTAGCAGATAAATGCAAACTTCAGTGCTTTTGCTTTTAATTTTCAGTAAACCTTATCCTGCACAGCTCCCAAACCTTCAACCTTTCATTCTAAACAGGGCAACCTACTATACGATTATGGAGAGCAAAGGAATTGTGTTTCTGAGCTTATTTAAAGAAGGTGCACTGGCAGCACTAGGCAAAATGGACAAAAAGGAATCAGAAAAAACCCAGCCCAAAGCAGACATGAATACATTCCTTGGGTACGTGTAACACACAGGGGCTGGCAGAGTAACTGAATAAAGCCAGTGCACTGTGAGCAACAGGGTAACAGTCTTGAACGACTGAGCTTCAGGCAAGGCAACACCTGAGCGTTCAGAGTACATACAGCAACAACACCTAATGCCCAACAAATATACCGGAGGGAGGGGGGGAGAAAACAACAAAACCAAAACTGGGCATTTGAAATACAGGAGAAAAAAAAGATGGTCACAGGACATTCACATTAATCTTGCAGAGAATCCACAACAATTCTATCAGACACAGTTTTTTCAGGTCTGAAACCCTCTGCATGCATACTACAGCAGGAGTTACAGATGGGGCAGAAAAGACCTTGACTGATGCAGAGGGGGGACACATTTCATAAAATATTGCAATAGCATCTGAGAGTCACAAGCTTCTGCTGTTTGCAGAAACATTGCTGCTTCTTGGTACAAGCTATTTTCCAGAAATTGCCCAGCATCCATGGAAACATCCCTGTACATGTGAAGCAGAAAAGGCTTTATTCTTATTCAGCTATATCCAGTGAAATTGTCCCTCCTTTCTATATCACTCCAAAGAGACACAGGGAAAGGTTAGACTGCCCTATGCAAAGCACACAGAAATACATTGAGCAATCATCTTTTCTGTCTCTGGGATCAACATCAGTGGTATCCAATAGGATCGAACTGCATGTAATGTATTTTGCATCAATTTTGCTGTACAGTGTCTATGCAAGTTTCTAGATGACCAGTGTTCAGGAGTGCTCCCTCTCTCTTGTGCTCACTGCATTTGATGAGCACTCACAATTCCATAACAGTTTTATGATCGAACAGTATCTGGTTTTGTCTTACAAAGAATCAATGCCTTTGCCCCAACCCCAATAACTCACCACATCACAGATGCAAGTCAGCATACACTTACGCCCGCTACCCAAACATTCAAAAGCTAAATCTGCCCTCAATGACGTATCAGTTCAGTATGCCCTGCACGTGCCTGGACACTCCCAAATCCGCAGCCAACCTGCCATTTTCATGGTGGTTGGGATGTTTCCTTTATAGCCCAATAACCTGCCACACATAACACACAATGGGCTGGCAAAGCACATCTACAATACGCTTCCTCCAGTTCTTCAACCTGCTAAAAGGTGTGCTGTGGTCATCTCAAACTTACTCAGCTGTGGCATCTTTTCTTACCCATATCTTGGGAAACGAGAGACACCAAGGCTAGATGGGCTCTCTGACAGTCAAGTCATTATTAACTCCACAGTGCTTTGCAATCTGGACAGCAAGAAACATGGTTAGGTTTTCAGGTGACACAAACATAACTAAGGTTAGGGAAACATCAAGATCTGCCAGTTCACCTACAGATGATGAGAGAAAAATGCCTACTTACTGTGTCGGGGGAAGGACAGAAGAGACTGGGGTTGTGGAAGCCCTGCCTATCTTACCAACTTGGAGGAACACATTTAATTGTTCTCAAGGTATCTGTAACACAAACATCTGCGTAGCAGGACACAGCTGTGGACCCATCTACCCTGGAAATGACTTCGAGCTTTTGCTCAGACTCTCCAAGACAAGAAGGTTGTTCAATAAACAAGACCAATCCAGAGATATGATGCCCAAAGAGCTACTTACACTTATTTTCACACCAGAGAAAAAGGAAAGCACGTTTCATTAGGGAGTTGGCTGAACTATGAATACAGTGGCCAGGAAAACAGCTTCTACATCTAAGGGGAGGATTAATTTGCAATTTCTCCCCCACCTGTTTTATGATCTGCTCTCATTGCTTGATGCTGGTTTAGCAAGCCCTAAACTTGCTCTCAAGTACACTGGTCAGTAAATACCAACAATGGTGGGCAATGTTTACTTGCTGCATCATCTCCCTCTCCCTCACATCTCCAGGTGAATTACATTTCTGTAAACCTATTACCTCCGCACTACAACCACCAAGGCTGCCAGATGAATCTGCAAGCAGGAGCAGCAGGGAGACAGAAGGCTGCAAGGAAAACTGCCTGTGGATTGAGCAGGGGAACTGGTATCCCAGAGCATGCTGCAGCAATAACCTATAAGGCAGTGAAGGAAAAGCGAGCAGATGCTCTGTTCAGCTCCTCACAGCTCTCACTGATACAGCCACATGCTTGCAGGGCACAGCACCCAGTGAAAACGCCTGGCAATTCTTGAGGAAAGAACTATACTACTGTCATTTGTCATCAACTGTTTCCTAGTACACTTCCTACTACAAAGCAAGCCCTTAATAACACAGCTATCTTTCCTTTAACCCAACATTTAATAACCCATTTTATATGATACTGGACATTTAAAGATCCCAGAAGACGATCCACCACAGCTGTCAGCGTACTCACCAAAGCTTTCGTGTTGTCTTCCCTGAACCAAATGCCCAGGTCTGACTGGAGAGGCCGTACATTGCAGACAGACAGACCTACTCATGTTTTAAAAAATACACACCCTGTGCATGAGACACAGTGACCTGACCTTTAGCAGACTGTTACAAGTTACAAAGTTACAAGTATTGGGTTTAATTCTACACTTAATTCTCTCCATGGATGTTCTCCAGTTCACCACTGGGTAGCACAGTGGCCATGCAACTCAAGCTCTTGCTCTTTCGGGCAGATGCGATAATCCTGTGCAGCCAACAGTGACTTAACCAATCCAACACCAACTGTTTTAGGATGAAACTTGTTTCTACACCCCCAGATACAGAAACTCTAAACCTTAATCCATGGCTGAGTAGAAACACAAATACCACAGACTGAAGCGATACACAGTTATGTCAACTATGATGTTTTAGACCTGTTTCAAAGAAATGGCTTATGAACAAGCTGATTTATACATACAAACAAGTCCATTGTGCCCAGAGGTTTCCTAACATTCTTTTATTAAAAACCAAAGAGCCAAAGATCGCCCTGATGCTCTTCATTGTTATAAAGCAGACTCTGAAGTATTACGTGAACTACGTATGAGCAAAGAACTCCAACTGATGCAGAGTTTAAAACTAGGTTTACAGTTTCCTATTTTATTGGCATGGATGTATTTCTAAACTTAAAAACCCTTCTGGCAAGTTATCTCAATTTCATATGACAAAATTTCTCACAACACACAAATATTTACAACATATACATATTTTTTCAGTCTTTTACAACTGGTTCTTAAAAGACAAACAATTTATAGGTTACCACAGAACAAAAGCTGTGACTTAGTTGTTTTTAATTTGATAAAACTATCATAAGTTAAAGTGAATAGATTTTCTTTAAATTCCTTGTAGCATTTTACAAGTGCAACAGAAAAATATGAAGAACCAATTTAGGATAGCTGCAGTTCATTGGATAAATGTTGCCCGTCGTAATCACATTATTTCACAGCAAATTCTTGAAAAAATAAGCACCAATCATTCTTGCAAAGAACAATTTTATCTAAAAGTATTGAAAAGTGTTAAATACAAGGTGTTTAATTTACGTAACAAGCAATAAATACACCATATCCAAACTTTTATTCTGCATACTGCTACCCTTGTACATATAATGTACTAAAAAGTCAGCAAATTGTCAACACCTTTTCATATTTTTTTCTCTTTTTTAAAGAAATCAATTTGACTTCCAACCAACGGTTTGCTACTATAACAAAGGCCACAAACAGTACGTCTGGGACAGCATACAGTGTTAAAACTGACAAACTCCAAGGGGGGAAAAAACCATCTAGCAAATAAATTGGAAAGCTGTAGATCATTGCTGGTGATATTAACATATACTAGAAAACCTTAATATGCTGCTACTATGATTTTGTAAATTGTTTAGTCAAACAGTGTAAGAGCAAACTAACGCTCTTACCGATCAAAAATAATTCTGTAGCCACACTGTATTCTCATTGTCCTGCATGGAAAGATCTGATGCAATTTCATAACTTTGCTTGAGCCTTTATTTTACAACAGAGCATTACCTCTAACTCGGAATTGCACATAAGAAGGCTATTAAAAAGTACAATAAAAATCTGCACAAATCAGACTTAAGAAGAGTCAGGATGCTGTACACTTTCTACAATATTACGTTGACAGGTGAATAAAGAAGTGCTGCCACTAAGTTTTTCAGAAAGTTCTTTAGTTGAGGAATAATCAAATGGAATTTTTGTTGGTTTTTTTTTTTTAATTATTATTATTTTTTTATTTTATTTTTTATATTTTTTTTTAAAAATGACATCCAGGTCAGTTTAAGACCTATAAGCTTATGCATTGAGCCTTAAAGACTGATCTTCTCTCCTCCTGGAAGAAATATCAATATCTATTGAATCCTTGCCAACAATAAGCCTTAATCTCTTCGCTGGAGGAAGAGGAATAAAGTCATCAAACTCATCATCATAATCATCTTCCTCTTCATCGTCCTCTTCTGACGAAGATTCATCTGCTGTTTCCTCTTCATAGTGACCATAATCATCTACTTCCATTCTCGACTCCAAAACGGACAGAGTTTCACTACAACACATGCCATTTTCGTGAAGGTCCTCAGGGTATGTCCCTCTGTTTTCTTCCTCTCGTTTTAGCTGTATTTTTAATTTTGTTGAACTATTGCCTGATCCTGAGTTAAACCCATTATTTAGCTTTGCTACATATAAGTTATTATCCTTTTCATGGTCTTTACTTAATTTGATGCTTATTTTTGAAGAATTCATTCCATCACTTTCTTGATCATTTGTCTTGCTACTGCTATCATGGCGCCTACGAAGAGTCAGTTTAGGGATCCCAGAGCTATTTTCAAGGATAAGTTGTGCATCATATCTTGTGATTCGTCTTTTCTTTTTACTTTTTGCAGTTCTAAAGCTGTCTTTTGCTTTAAAATTGTCAGTTGTTACAGAGCAGCCACCAGATCCAGGGATGCAGTCTTTAAAGCCAACAGGTGTGTCCACCTCATTATTCCTCTCTTCAAGTTCTGAATGAGAACTAATCAAATCTGGTACTTTGTCTTTCACAGCTGTGTTGTGCATAGTATCAATTTCCTCTGTTTTTGAAGATGTGTTCACAAGCTTTCCTTGTCGAGATTTCTTTTTTGATGTGCCTGCATCATTTTTCTGGCACCTCCCCTCCCCTTTATGTGATGGTCCATGAGCCACCTCGTTTTCGTTTCCCGCACGAGACTGCTGCTCTACAACGTCCGATTGTGTTCCAGTCAAATTATTCTTATAGCTATCCAACGTATTTGGTTCAAGCTTTGTGTCAGAGGTCTCCTTCAAACTCATCCTTGTTCTCATCGACCTCCTTGTTATGTATGTGCAGGGTGGAATATCACCATGCTCATGAGCACCTTTCACAGAATTCAGTTTATGTTCTCTCGCTGCGTGCCTCGTTAAGCATCCGCTAGAGACTGCAACTTTGACTGGTCCCTCCAATTCTTTATCCTTTTTAATGGGCAAGTTTTTATACAAAACTACTTTAGGCTCTTTGAGAACTAAATTTCCCATTTCAAGCTTTCTAGAGGCATTCTTTTGCTCTGGCCTTTTGCACTGATTTCTCAACTTTATCTTTGAAAGTAAAGGCTTTGCAGGCTTTTTCAGTCTCTTTGGTACCCTGGAATTATTTATATGAGTTAGTTTAGATGAGGTAGAATTTGATGATGCTGGAATTCTTGATATAGACTGTCTGGTTAACGTTCTATTTTTGCTGTTCTTTTTAACGCCAATTGAAGATTTTCTGTTAGCTGCAAAAGAAGAAATTAGTTTTGTTATGACACTTCTTTATCCTGAATTTCCCACTCCCAAATACTGTAGTTATTTCATTTATTTGGAACACTTCAAGAGAATCCATGAAATAGGACAGACAGTATGCAGTAAGGAATGAGACTGCTTAACTTGCAACTCAAGACATGAAAGGAATTGCCAAACGAGCCAAAAGTACAACTACATTGCAGATAAACTTCCCCTCACCAACCAAGTTTGGTTTTTACTGAATTTTTTCTTCTACCAATTAAAAAAAAAAAATCTATTTGATATTATCCACAGTTTTTACTGAGTATTATTCCAGCAAAATCTGAGGATCAGCATGCTTCACTATTAACTCTGGGATTTTTTCCTCAAGAGGGAGATAAAAACCCCAAACACCTTAACTAATGTAGTGGTTTCAGTTTCAGGTATCACTTAACTGTCACAAGCAAGAAAACCTTCCTCTGCTCAACAGATGTGCAACTCTAAATCCAGGTAATTAGAGACTATAAAACCTTTTGGGGAAATGTTTTGAGGTGGGGTTTTTTTGTGTGTGTGTGTTTTGTTTTTGTTTTCTTTTGTTTATTTAACATCACAGCAGCAAACAGGAAACAACTGGTACCATAATATTTTATGTGGCTCCAAACTTTACTAGTTAAGTCAAAGTTTAAATTACTTACATTTTGCCCATACTGAGGGTGGTGAGGGTGGGAAAGGGGGGAAAGCAAGTAAATGATACTCACTACTCCATCAAGGGAAGTTTTGCAGGAACATTACAAACAAAAATCCCTTCCAATTTCTTCTGAAATTACTAACTGTGTGCACTTTCACTTCAGAATAGGTACCTGACCTATCAATTCTGAATGTGGAGAGGGAAGAGCAGCCCAATTTAAACAAACTCTAAAGGAAATGACTATTTCTTTAGTAATCTCTACTAAAAGTATTTATTCAACAATTGTTTTCCTACAGAATATAGATAATTCAAACTGTTAAGTTTCCTTTCCTAAACCACACTACTGCCTGTGGTAGTTTACCTTATTTTGAAATACAGACATTAGTGACAGGACGTTAAGTTTTTACACTTTGTATTTGATTTTGATATAAATAAAACAATAACATGCCACCTATTGTTCTTGAAACACTTGTGGAAAGCCATGAATTTGCTATTTAAATTGCCTTCAGATTCCTCAATAAATTACGGTTTTAATGACCAGTATTTGAGAACATCTCAACACTAAGAGAGGAATTCCATCACAGTGAAAGTTTTCCATGTTTTTTAAGAAACCTTTAACGTCTCCAAGCTTTTCCCTTTACTTACTTGCATTACCTTTTTCCTGAGTGGTATCTGCATCAGTGTTAGAGCTGACAGACTGGCTGTCTGAATTCTTGCTGCTGTCACCCAACTTTTTAAGCCTGTTCAATCGTTTATCTGTTTCTCTCAGTCCATATTTACTATTAATCACAGGAGTAGGTGCTGGTAATCCCACTCTTGATTTAAAAGCACCAGTTCCACGTCTACAAAGAAAGAGAGGACACAAAGTATTAATAAATCTCAATGTAAACTTACAGCTTTGTTTCATATACAGTAGTCTGAATCCCAGGAATATCTGGATAAATGATACCAAGAGCCACTGAATTGGTTCGCATTTTGTAGGTTGTTTTGTCTTCTGACATGTCGTCTTTGGTGCCTACATGTCTCAGTTGGCCAGCATGAACAGCAGGCTCACCTAGAAAGAGTACATGGACAAAAGCAAATCTTCCTGGGAATGACTTTTGGAAGCTTGAAAAAAATTGCACAGCACCAAATTTCCCACTGCTCCAAACATACCCACAGTTTCTTCAAAGTCTAGCATTTTAACATTACAAATTAACACCCTTTACAGCACAGCCAAAATTGAGTCACTTAAATATGATTTTTTTTTTGTGGCGTACAAAGCAACAGTTGCCTCATCTGTCTTGAACAAGGAAAAATGAGTCCTTACTAACTTCCCTAAAACAAAATCTTTCATATTTGATTGCTGTAACATTGCCTTGTGACTGAAATGCAAATTCCTAAAGCTAGAATCACCCAAACATTAGCTTTAAAAAATAATGTTTTCATGCACTTAAAATACAAAAATGACAAGGTAATGCAAATGTTCAGACACGCGAAACTAGTTTGCCCTCAAAAAGAAAGCACGTCTGTAAAACACTGAAATCAACAATCATGGTGCCCATTTATTCAACACTGAATAGTCCCCAGGACTGAAGTACATTTTTACTAGCATCTCTCGAGATAAAGTCTGAGATTGTACCCTTCACTTGGAATGATCCACCAACATCACATGAGCTTGGACGCCCTTACCAGAAGGTTTTCTCTTGATTTGCAAGATTTGTTAGTGACCAAACTAGCCAGTAAAAATCAAAGTAAGATTACTGAACTATTTATATGTAGGTGCACTATGCTATTGTCAATATGACAAGTTCTCATCGGTCATATTCTCAAAATGACCAATATTTTGTCCTTTGTAGGGTTTTTCTTTCTACAGTTAGATCCAACAGTAACAGCACCGTTAAGAGTTCCGCGCGATTCCTCTTGAACTGGGTGAAGCTCTCTCAAATGATGCTGAGCCTGTCTGCTCACAGTGAGCAGAAATTTCAGTGTGGCAAAAACCAACTAAGAAATTCTTTCAACTGATCTTGTGAAGAAAGCAGATTGGGACAGCACAGGTGAAACCCAAATATAACAACTCTGCTGCTATTATGTGATGCACAGATATAGGGGAATACTGTCCAAACTAGTAGATCTTTACAAATACACAAACTCCCAAATTCTAATAGCATTGGGTGAAAAACTATCTTGCCCATTCCCAGCAGAAGAGAACTTCAGGTCAACATATAAAAATGAAATTTGCTTTTTCTAGTGCAAAAAGGAGCAAATGTTGGGGAACAGTTGACAATGGTCTTGTAGAAGCTGTAACTGCTTTTCCTTCCAATTCTACTTTATTCAGTACAAATATTTCTAAGAATCTACACTTATGATTTGATCCACTTCGTCTCATGTTGGGCTATCTCCAGAAAGAGACTCAAAAGAAAAACAGAATGCAGAGTTCTCAGGAATCATGACCATTCTGTAACAACATAGAAAAATCATTACAGCAAATACCTAGGAAACAATTATTTTGTGTCCAAAAAACTGAGTACTCATAATCAAGGACTTCCAGTTTCACAAAATATATCATGAAACCTATTTACATCAATGTATACCTTTCACAGGTGTAACATTCGCAGTATTCATTATTTTCTCCAAAAAACCCATCTCCATAGTAACAAGAGATTTCTTCTCCAGGTTCAATATCTCTTAGAGCTTTCACACATGCCGTATCTCTGCCCGTTGATACAAACTGGGGAAGGAGATGACAGGAAGGGAAAAGGTATAAAATAAGGTTAATCATTAAGGCTGTATAGTATCTGAGTAAGAAATAAAAGTAAAACAGTCAGGGAAGAAAAGTTGCAGGGACAAAGAAAAACAAAACAAAACAAAAAAGCAGGGTGATTTATTTATTTACTTTTAATTTCTTGCTTACCTTACAGTTAGGTCTGCAATCTGAAAAAGGTCCAAAAGATAAAGTCAATTAACTGTGGATAAGACCTGAAACATGAATAGTTGTAGATATCTAAAGTAAGGATTCACTCTGACTTTAATAACTGTAGAATCTCAACTAAATATTGGGAGTTAAGTTAGTATTGCACAAAATCATACTTCAAAAGGTACTTGTTTTGACATAGTTGGGTTTCTACCTTCTATTCTACCACAAATGTTCAGTTTTCCTCCTCTTTAGGGTGAACAGATTTATCTTAAGTCCTACCTGCTTTTCCCTGAATTGTTAAACTTCTGTGTAAAATGTTAAAGAGGCATAGGAAGTTTCTTAAGAAAGATGTTACTGTTGACTAAGTTCACAAAGAACTCAAGGTAACCCACAATATGCCCCACTAATTTAGCTGTCAGTTCCAAAATCGATTTCAAGTAAGAAGGCATCACTTCCTAGAGCCGTCTGGGAGTTTCCCAGTTCACAGCTGATCAGCTCTGGCTGGGAAAATCTCAAATTGTCCTACAGTAATACCGTATGTCAGATTCAGACATTTTTCTCCAAGTTCTTGTGTTATTCAGCTCACATATAATAATGCTTCTGAGTAGAATTGCTTATGCCCTTTAACATGCTTCCTGCGTTTACTACTCACCATGATTGATAAATGCAGCAGGACCAAGCCACAGTTGTGCACAGTTTTTTCGTGTGGAATACATGACGCTGAAGTCATTTTCCCCATGTCTCAGCAGCATGTTTTCTTCCATTTCTGATAGTTCAGCAATGCAGCCCACAAGTAATTCTATTTTATCATTTCGTTTCCTTTAGTGCAAAGAGTAGCAGAAATAAGAATACATGTGTCAAAATTACAAAATAATTTCACAAAAAGAAAAGTTGCAAAACACTTCTTGTTATTGACAAACCATTCCACAACCCCTATAAGCCTCATGTTTTAATTCACTGAGAGACAGGATATTAGGCTGAATAACTTTTTTCCAGACTCAAAATAGATGTTTTTATGCTACTATATAGAATCAATTAATCAAATCTGACGTCAGTAACAATTATGACCATTATTTCTACAATTTCCTGAGACTGCAGGCAAGAAATTGTAAGAGTTGATTACTTCAGCTTCTACAGTTGTTAAAACCAAAAGCGAGATCTTTTCATTTGTGTACACTCCCTCCCCATCGACACTTAAGATATTTTGACTTCCTACAGCTGCTCCTGCTTGGCGTTTCCTATGCTTCTTCCTGTGGCCAGGAAAACCCGGCATAATGAAAATGCTTACAACTCCATGGCTTCTTAAATGAGGCCCAGTACTGACTCGAACAAAGGCCAGAATTCAAGCAAGATGTTTTCCTCTCTCATGAGCAGATCTTTAGCATGAAGCTGTTAGTTGAAACAAACCGAGGAAGGGGGAAGGACGCACACCAACAAAAATCCACAAATCCAGGAAGCCTTGGTGTGCAGGCAGCCCATCTGAACAGAGCAGAGGCACTGACTGCTCAGCCTAGGAAGAAGCACACCACTTCTGCTCCCCTGTATGGGCACTGTTTCCGCTGCTCCTCAGAGTGGCCATTCCATATTTTGGCCAGATTACTCTGACACAGATGAATATGGAGATACTAAACATACATGAAGGACATACACCAGAAGCCAAGTCTTTCAGGTGCAAAAGTCTCCTCTGATAGAGAACGCTGAGAACTCTATCAAGTTTGAGTCTCAATAGTTTTCCAGATATCAAGAGGGTTAAGAAGCAACTTTCCTGTCTTCCTTGCTCTCAGGCCACTCAAGATTTGAGCGTGGAAAGTTAATTCATTTCCAACACACCTACATACAAAGCTTCAAGAATCAGCCAAGGGGTGAATTTAAACAAAAAAAATCACCAACCAGTATTTTTTTTTTTGAGTTGTATCCTGATTGTGGAACTTTCAACTATGGTCATGAAGAGTTAGAAACTAGCCTCAGCCTACTTAAAGATTACTCAACAACACGTGGAGGTTGTGTTGCTGCCAGCCCAGTGTCCAGCCACTCCATCCTAGCCTGCACATAACAGCATTTCGTCACCTCAGATGCGCTGGTGTGAATGTGTACTGCCACTAAGCAAAGCTAACATAATTTGTGTGTGAGTTTATTTTAAAATCTGAATTAACTTGGAATCTACTGGTGTTGCCATGCATATGCTTATAATGAAACTCAGATGTTCCAAAATGAGATGCAGAAATACAACGGGGTTCCAACTTTGTGTTTCCAAGAGAGATTTATCTTGGACAATCAAAATATGCAAATAACACCTCTGTTTCACAAAGGCGAAAAACTCATTTCCCCCACAATAATTTGCTGCAAATCCACCGTAATGTCATGTTTCTCACAGGAGGCCAACAACTCATGACTAGAGGAAAACAATTATCTGACTGAAAACAAGATTAAAAAAAAACTTGTATAATGAACACTATATGGATACGCCCAAATATACAAAGGAATGTCTTCCAGAGGCATGTATCCTGTGTTAAGTACTTAGCAAAAACACACACAAAATTCAATTTGCAAGTAACAATACAGAACTGTATTTCATGGGTTGCAGTTTTAGTTCTAAATCACCCTTTTTAATATCTTTTTTAGGGTCTTTCAAAATAATTGACAGAAACAGAATGCAACAGTAAATGCATTTCTTACCATTCTTTCGTTGCAACAATTTTGGCTCCATTTTGCTCTGAAGAATACCTATTACAAGGCAGGATCTCAAACCCACTGTCAGTTGCAAACATTCGTAAATAAATAAATACCTGCAATGAAAAAAACCAGTATTTTCCAGTTACAAGCAAAACAAAAGCAGTGAGGAACTTCTTATATAAATAGTGAAAGTCAGTGACCTGCACAAAAACACACACAAAATGGATATTGCAATGGGATACTGTCTGCTGAAATGCATCGCTGTACATTTTAGCTATACACATTATGTTGGTCTTATTTCTTCACAGTGACTTGCAGGAATCCTCACGTGGGTAATGTGACTATCCAAAGAGTTTAAGAAAATTAAAAATGCCTTGAATGGTACAAAACTGGACCAACCAATGAAAATGGATAATTTTTTTCCTTAAAGTCACTGAATAGTTGCATTCAAGTAATCTCAAATCTTTAAGAACCACTGAGATCTAACAATCTACAGGAACTCATGTTATTATTTGAAGTCCTGAAGAAAAGATATTACTTCCACGACAAAATTAGATAATGAATTCAGGGACTGTTGGATCAATTTTTTTCAGGTGAAATGTGGTTGTATTACTCAAAAAGCATTTGACAAAGCAGAGTTTTTTTCTGCTAATTTTTTTCTACACTACTAGATTTGGTGCACTCCAAAGTAGGCCAAATTCCTTTTGATTGTATCTGGAAACAATAGACTCATTCCTGAAGAAGTTTCTTTTTTTTTTTCTTAAGTAAAAAAAAAAAACAAAAGATGATTTTCTTGCTTTGAACTTTGAGAATCAACAACTTTTATGTTACATACAAAATGGATTTGGGGTATGGCAAGTGGAGGAAGAGGAATAACACTCCCACATAAAGCCCCTATACCCAAAACAACTGAGGTATTTTGAGGTAACAAGGTTCCTCCCTTTTCCTTTACCTTCCTTTGTCACCCAATTTGATTAAAAATAGCTGTAAGCAAAAAAAAAAAACCAAACAAAACAACAAACCCAACCAAAAAACAAAAATGAAAAAAACCCCAACCAAACCACAAAACAAACAATGAAGGGGAAAAAACTTCACCTTCCTTTTTACATGTCTATTAATAAATGGCACTGTAAGTTAACGACAAAAATAAAAGTGAGGGTGTGTCTAGCTGGCTTTAAAAAACAAAGGAAGTTTCTGATAAAAAACAATCAAACAATTAACATGTAACGGAGCAATTGATTGCTTTACTACTGCTACATTCCTGAGAAATTTTTATGTTTTCTTAGCCTTTCAACCATCTGAAAAAGCACATTAATTACAAATACACCTACATGTTCCTTGAACAACCTTTCCTGCATTTTGTTCTTGTTAAGAAAATAGTGCCGGGCCCAGTCACCTGACGTCAAGGACTTGAAGGCTTTTTCTAAGTGCTCATCTTTCTTAAAACGTTCAATCACCTCTTTTAGTTCTTCTTGCCTTCCTTTAATAGGTCGAAATCTGAAATAAAGAATAAAGCTATTCCAGTCCATTGTCAATCATTCTCAATTCTTCCTTACAGTTACTCACAGTACAGAGGTCTTTTGCTAGCCATATCAATATTTACCTCCTAGCATAAAGAGACTGACCATCAGGTACTCAAATCACAGGTCCTCATTTCCTGAGGAAGGGGCAGAAGTACGGCAAAGCCAAGCGTACTACCTGGAACCTTTAAAATCCTCTATTCTGCCAATAAGCATGATTTATTTACAAAACAAATCTCTGATAAGGTTAACCAATGCACAATAATATTTCCCTGTTTTCAGCACCTGTTATTTGGAACAAAGCAGCTAAAGAACTATTATAATAAAAGTGTTACTTTTTTAATAATAGTATAACTTTAGTTAACAAATTTGTTATCATTCAAAGTAGTTGTGCAAAAAAATTCTGCAAATAAACTGGATGCTGTTAAGTTTCCTAGTTAACATTGGTATTAGGGGATCTGCGCACAGTACTGGCTTTTGTAACTGGGTTGTGTGTATGTGGGTATATGTGATTTTAAATTTAAGCCCTCTACAACATCACATGCCACATGATTTTTTTTAAATAGGGAGCAAACAATTAGGCAGTGCAACCAAAAAGACCGAATAAGAAATCTCGAAACAGAAAAAACGCACAACTATCTTGAGTGATTTCAAATCAACTTCTGCCAAACCCAAAACATTATTATATTGACAAATTCACTACGTAGGTTTATGTGGAATGCAAACTTAACATGTGCATTCATACAAAACACACCTGTAAATGGCTACAGAAGAAGTATCTATAAATGGTAAGACACGGCAGAGCTACTACATCCCTGGAAGATTAAGGTTCCACAAGTTAGTGCAGTTGTAAGAATTTTTTCCCCCAAACACTGGCTACAGGAAACAAGTAGCTGAAAAATCATGGGCAGGTAAAATATGAAAATGAACCCCTGTACATTAGCAGAGAATTCCACCTTCTTCCCAAAGATTGAGATTTAAGAGAAACTGCCCTTCATATATTCAACAGTAAAAAAAACAGGTAACAGAAAAAAACTGCATGACTGCCAGAAGCAGAAGCTCCATTTTGAGCTGCAAAACCACCAAGAGAAAGCAGCACTTAATTAGAGATTATGTCGAATCTCTATAAATTGACTGAGCACATACCCATATATGCTCTGCTTTGGGACAGAGGTTGGGTGTGTGTACTTTTAAGTGTATGACACACCCCGCGGGACTCTTCACAAAGATAAAAATTTTCTAGGGTCACGAGAAATGGTTTTCTGCAGATCTTTTTACAATTTGTATGTTTTGCCTGCACAACATATGACAGAAGAGCTAAACAAACTAACAGCTTTTGAGTAAATCTGTAAGACTAAGTCCTGTTACTTGCTGCTTGACCTGCATTACCATGCTGATTTTATTTCCTCTTACTTACCAAATGAAGTCGGTATTCGACGACAAAAGTAAACAAGGGGAAATAAATTATTGAAGTTGGTGGAAGGAAACCTCATCAACTTCCTCACTGATACTGTTTTTTAAATTACCACATAAATTGGCTTATTCTTATCTTAGAATGTTGCCAGTAACTTCTTTTCAAATGACCAAGTAAGAGTTGCTGCTTCTATGCAACTTGTGTGAAGGAAACAAAATACCTTAAGTGTTAACTCTCGATTTTATTTCACCTTTTAAGATGCTAAGAATCTAATAAGAAAGAACTAACAATGATGAGGATTCAACTTCCTTCATTAGAAGGAAAGTGCTGTATTTATGCTCCTGATACAATAAAGACAGACCTCCTAACAGCAGTATCACTTTCAGCAGGTTATCAGCGTTCCATGCTACCGCTTTTATAAATCTTCTCTGCATTCTCCTTCAGAAAAACTTCCTCGTAATATAATGACTAAGCAACCTTTGAGACACTTTTGAACACAGCAAAATTTATCAGCATAAACTTGTGAGTTTTCAGAGAACACAGCACAGTAAGGAGTTCTGAGCAGACAGGTAAATTTTCTTCTGGCTGGGATATAACAACAAAACAGGAGTCAGTTAAGAAACAGATGCCTGCTTAGAACTGTGGCATGCATCATGTCAAGAAGTTTCCAAAAAAGCTCTTCATTAAGGAATATACTTATCCCATCCTCCCAAAAAGCTAACTGTCTAACAAGCTGCTGAGACTGTATCATGGAAGAAAACTCTCTACAGATGACATGATCATCATTATTTTTGTTCTGCAGCACACTAAAGTCTCCCTCAACTTGCCAGTCACACACAGAAGTATCTCTATTCTCCCAAAACCAGAAAGATTTCTCCCAGATTTGATAATCATACCTCACAGAGCTTCCTCATACATCAAGAGAATGTGAAGTCATATAGCCTGAACTGAACCTGACTAGTTTCAGAATGTGACCTGCTGTCATTTTTAGTTTTAATCAGAAACATTTTTCCATCAAGGAAACTTATACCAGGAGAAGCACAAGTAGAATATGCACAAATATGAAGAGTTAACATTTTGCTTACACCTTTATCTGCAAACATTACATGAAGGAAAAAACCTGCAGGATTTACAGCTAAAATTGGTCTTCAGCTATGTCTGTCCTTTCTGGGCTACATGAATGACTGCCCTCTCCCTTACACTATATATTACATGTTGAAATGCACCATTTTTTTTAGCTATGTGACCTGCAGGAGCAAAGACAGGTGGAAAAGCCACCACATTCAAAATTGCATTAGCACCTCAGACAGGCAGTGTATGTGCTGACAGACATAATCACACTTGTTTATCATCAAGGAGCTTGGTACAGGCTAGCTAAAGAAAACAGTATCCCAAGTCAACTACCAGCGGGAAGAAAGCTATCCCAACTGAACCCCCATTGGGAAAAAAAAAATAAAGAGAAAAAAACAAAACAGGGCAGATGCCAAGCTTGACAGTGGCTCTCAAGACCTACAAAAAAAGAATCAACACCCTACATTTTCTAGCAATTAGAAGCACATTGTACAGCCCCAAAGTGATGTTTATATTTCAGGTTTCTAACAACCTCCCATTCTCAGAGGCTGAGTCAACATCTACATGACCAGCCACCTTAGGCAGCTTGGAACCTGGCCTCAACCCTTGAAAAGTCACCCACATACCTCCATGGATGACATTCAGTAGGTGTTTCTTTGGGTTCCTGCCTCAGGCATTCTACACTGCCGGTGGCACTCCTTTAAATGATTAGCAGAAACTCAAGTAACACCATTTCGAAGAAGTAGAATAGTTAGTGTATGCCAAAGTCTTGAAAAGGCCAAAAAGGTGGCTGGAAACAAGAAGGGAGTGAAGAGACTGCACAAACCCCCAAACACTATAAGGTCAGATGAATGCTGCACTGTATGTCAGGCATTTCAAACAGGAACTGAGGTTTTTAAACAACATGACTCTCTGCACCCAAGGGTTCAAAAATCAATACCAAGGAACCTCCTGCAGCACCTCTATCAAAATGTTGCACTTACAAGGTGACAAAACAGAGATAATGAGAAAAGATAAGCAGGAATCCATATAAGCAAAAAGTATTCACAAATACACGGGAAGATGCTGGAAAACAACATGATGTACAACATTTCACTTCAAGGGTTCCCAAATCAGGTGAAACAGAATGACACCGAGCACCCTGAGCTTGAGTTAGTGACTTGTTCAGAGCTCAACAGCATATGTAAACTGCACTGAGAGCATATAAAGTTTACAAGCAAATTCAGAATACTGCAGTCCAGACTCCTCATGAAAGCTTCAGTCTTTCACAGGTGTATCTCCATATATACTTTAAAAGGTACCTTCTGATTTGAGACACTGAAGAAGACCAGAAAGCCTAGAAGCCCAGTGTTCTTTAAGAATTTGAGGGTCTGCTGGTAGATACCTCACCTGTCCCAGGAGTATAATTTTTTATCTATATTATATATAGACTATGTAACTATATTATCATAGTTTCTTTATTAGTCCTTCGCAACCAAAAAGCCAATTGGTTTTGAGAAGCAATCTTACATCCTACCATTTTGGTGTTACAGGGCTTCCACATTTACATATGACAATAAACCCCCCAAAACCTATAAACCTGATGGAAGAGTCTACACAGCTGTTTTTGAGCTCCACCACGAAGAGAGCCTGAAAAGGCCCCACAGCAAAATGTATAGAAAACGAGCCAAAGAAACTGGCTTTTAAGTGTCAGTAAAACAGGAGAACTAGTTCAAAGAAGAGAGAGAGAGAGCACAAGGAAACCAACTGAACAAACCAGCCAATCCAGTCTCTAAACCGCTTTAAATGGTTAAAATCAGAATTGTTTATGCAGACTTCTGGTTTGCTCCTGTGAACAGTACCTTTATTAAGTTCTGTAAGGGAAGCTGAACAAGACACTTTAGTGTTTGAATCTGCTCATATGCACAGATTCCTTGAGCCACCCCACGAACAACTTCAGGGGTCAGGTCTTATGGAACATGAAATCTTCTGCAAAATAGTCTGTTGTTAAAAGTAAGCTAAGAATGAAAAACCCAGCTATGACACTATCTTTAAAGAAATAATAATAGCCCTTCTTCCTCACAAGCTGCAGAACACAAACTTTTCACGCTTCCCTAGAAAATACTTGTTTTTCCCTAGTCGACAAGATCCAACAAAACTATGGCTACTGCAGTTTCAAAATCAGACAGAAGATGATCTTATCCCAACTAAGGGCAAACTGATGTAGTCTCAATAAGGAAGACACAGGAAAATGGCTCGGGGAAGCAAAGCTCTTTCTCTCTCAAATTTCTCTTACCTCGGGAGTACTTAAAGACTCTTGAAACTCCAAGGTATAAAGCCAAAGGTCAGTGAGATGCTTGCCTATAAAGGAAGTTAAAGGAGAGTTTCTGGTAAGTTCAGAAGCACAGCACCTTGCTCAGTCTCAGTCACTGAGAGCAGTGAGTTTGAACAAAAAGGATAAACTGATCCTGAAGGAGATCCAGAGTGAAACTCTACAAAGCATAGGAGCGCACGATAAAGAGTTATACTTCCAAACCTGTTTCTTAATTTCTGACTAGGGAACATCAAGACGAGTGAATTTATCAAAACATATCATCCAATTAGCCTCTTAACAACAGGGACCTTGTCTGGATGATATTTCTATTTACGTGGCTGTGGAAAGACAGCAAGTTACTATTCACGCAGTAGCAGAGATTGAGCACAAAAGCTAAACTGCAAGCCTGTTAAGCATTCAAGACAGCACAACAAGACTTGAAAATCATCTATTTAAAATAAGTGTAAACAACTAAATTTAATTAACATACATTTTGGCTTCTTTCCTGCTCAACTCTGTAGTATAAGTATTTTTTTCCTCCCTCAAAGCTGGTTGTATCAGTTATGATCAACTTTTTCTGCCTTTAATCACCAGTACTTCCATATGGGACCTCATGTTCTTTAGAGGCTAAATTTCAAACAAGCATTCTTAATGAAGAAAGTATTCTACATTATCTAAATTTCTTGAACACTAAACACACACCAGGTGTGGTCAAAACTCCAATACAGCCTAGGGCAGAAGTAAAGACAATTCTTTATATAATATCATTCTCCTTAATAAGAAATACTTTTTTAAAATAAATATGGGGGATGCAAACCCCTCGCCCCCAACACTCTCCCCCATTCCTATTCTGACACTCCACATGGTAAATTCAATTTAGCAGTTACCATGTCTACTGGATGCAAGCCACTCCATCTTTTGGAGATGTAACAATTTTTATTGAAGCTATAAGTACAACTAAAAAAAAATGTAAAAGTAAGGTGGTGGGTGTTGGTTTGAAGGGCAGGGTGTCATTTGGTTGTTTAGGGTATTTGGCAAATGATCGTTTCAACAAAACAGTCAATTCCAATGTAATCACTGTGTGATTACACACAGTGAAGGAAGAGGACCAGAAGCAAGGTAAAGGACTTTATTAAGTTACCAGTAAAAATAATCTAAAAAACCCAGAGAAAGTAGATTTTACACAAAAGTCAAACAAAAAATAATTTTGCAAAGTACACAGACACTGCGGTCTGAAAAATGTAAAAGCTTCAGTGTGAAACAGGTTGTCACCACATAAGAGCTCTGTACCTCTAACCCAGCATCTCCATAGCACCACAACACCAAAGTTGAACTATACAGCCACAATATCTTATTTAGCAGAATTCACGTAACTTTTTCAACCTCCAAACTCCATTCAAGATGAAATTAATAAGATTAATTATTATATTGAAATGAGCTGAAGAATGCAGAAGAGATTCAGCACAGACCCTTAAATGCAAGTGATATGGAACTGCTTTGTCTTTTTTGTCTTTGTCGCTCAATGATGACTCTAATGGATGAAGTGTGGTGTACCCTGACAAGTTCAGGAATGACTGTTTATACCAAAGTCAGAGACTACTCCTGATGCAGTGTTGAGAGACAGCTGCTTCCTGTACATCATCCCTGAGCACTTTATGTTTGCAGTGGGAAACATGGAAATTCTCAAAGCTTGGTCCTTTCGTCCTGTGTTATCAGACAACACCACCCACTCCACACACCAGTTTGTAACATCACAAAAAGCAGCAATACGGAGGTAAAAAACACCCTTAGATTCTCCTAGAACAGACCACAATGTATTTGACTTCCTAAACCACTTGCAAACTTAGAAATACATTGGAACTGCTCTCAGTATTCCCTAGCATGATGCTGGTACTTTAAGGAACCAGGAAACAACACTGACTGTTAACAGCAGCAGTATGATCAGAAGTCTGGCTTAAGGTTTAAATACTAACACTTCATATGTGAGACAGTAAGGAGCAGATTAGCCATTAAATCATGCAATTTCAAGATTCAGTGCTGAGCCTAGGGAAAAGCATCTGAAAATAAGAGATGGTAAGATAGGCAAGAATTCACTTTTTACAAGTGTCAGTTTTAATCTCTAGTGTTTGACAACCTTCAACCTAGGATGTATAGCTTGCAAAATGAGTTTTGTTTTCAACACAAAACCAACCAAATAAGTCCTGATATAACAGGATTTGTACAAGAAGCGACAAAACCTCTTAGAATAGCTATAGTTGACAAGAACATACTACCTAAGATACAGGATTTCTTCTATTAACTGCTAGCCCGCTATTCTGTGGAGATAAGAGCTACAAACTGGATGAAAGAATGACAACTCAGCATGTAAAGAGGATTGGAAGCTCTGAAAAAAACCTGCTTCCCCTTAGAAATCTAAGACAATGAAAAAAATTACTTTTGGGTACAGCCACTGAAGACATTTCCAAGCTACGTTATGCTGTCTGTCAAATCCCTGGTGACGAGAAGACATTTCAGAAGAACATTGGACAAACACTTTGGGGGATTCAATTGCAATCTTTTGAGAACTAGTCTTCAGCTCTTTCAGATATTCCTGACTTGACAGCATCCAAAGCTAACAGCCCAGTTCCCAAGATGGAGAGTATTCAGGAATTGCAGGACTTCATTTTTATGCCTCCCCAGAAAAAACCTCACCAAACCCCCAAAAATCCTCACAAAACAACAAGTAAAATAACAATCAAGTTCTTGTCACCATCGCACCAGATCACTAATTCATTATAAAGAAGATGAAGTATAAAGACATTTCAACAGCAATCTAGATACTTTACTATAAGGTTTTTTTCCCCTAATCAATATACTCTGGACAAATCAAGTTCACAAACTCTTCAACTAGAAGAATGAATGAAGCAGAAAAAGTGCTTATAGAGAAAACACTCATACAGAGAAAAATGCAGACTTGGCTCGCAGAGGTAAGGTGAAGTACAACTTCATTAAGTGGTCATCAACTTATCCTGGGCTGCTACTTGCAAAAATACAAACCTCTTCTGTGTTTCCAACAGCACAGCAGAATGGTGGCACAGGCGCTTTCACAAATCAGAACAAGGGAACATGAAATACTTGCTTGCCACCATAAATGGCTGTTTTATGTTAAGCACGCCTCAATACAAAAACTATGTAACTAATATGACTCCATCCCACTGAAGCCCAAGATGCCCAAACATAAGCTGTAAATCTTTATTTCTACTACATCGTAGTATTTGGGTACTGGCGTCTGGCACTTTGGAAACAGTCTAGCTTTTCACACTTGCTTTCCCCCCACCTTCCCTCAAAAGCCATAAAAACAACAATAAATCTTAGGAGCTCTAGAAAGACTACAGTTTACTTGATGGAAGGAGGGTAATCTAAGCATCACAGCTACAGTAACAAGCAGATGTCATCACCCCACCAAAAAGATAAACAAGAACTATGCTGATGCCTCTATTTTAGTTCATTACAACAACAGAAACTCTCTCAAGAGGACAAGAAAGAGGCAAGCAGATGTGCTTCTAGTAGTTGTAAGCCTCACCTAAGTATTTCCCATACTGCTCCAAGACTATTAACTACTCTCCTTGAAGACTGCCTGTAACTGTTCTCCAAGTCTGAGAAAGGAAGAAGCACAGGATGATGGTCTTTGTGTGGCCTTTTGGCTCAAAATAGTAATTAAAGAAGTATTTTAGGTGTTGACACCATATCAACATAAACCACCATTTATGACAGTAGGTTCTCCAACTATTAAACAATGAATACATCATTCCCTTTGTAAAAAGCCTAAGAATTAACTACCTGTGTGTAATCTGAAGACTATCATTCGTGCAAGAAAACAAAAAAGTCCTTTGAGCATATATATTTAACTTGATTAACTGATCAGAATACAAAGACACTTCAAACTAAACTGTAAAAATATCTACCTGGACACTGGGCACAATGTGATACTGTAACCAATAGCATGGAGGGAATAGGAAGAATTCAAACATTCCTCTCAAAGGTGGATGTTGCACTCTCTAGCAAAAAAAGAAAAATCTCTTTGGAGTAAGTCTTTGCATTTATTAGGACCAGACAGCTGAAATTTCATGTGCAACTCATGCTGTCAGGTTATAACAGCAAGCACTTATGTAACGTGACAACACCAATTAATCTAAAAGTCATTTTTGAAGCAATCAGTTTGTTGCATACACACACACACAAAATCTGCTTAAGTGGCACTGTGGTTATGTGACTGTGCTGTGCAGGTGAACTGTCCTTCTTGAAAAATTGTCACAGCAATAGTTTGAAGAGCTGAGCAGTCTGTTTCCCAAGATGTGCTGCCTCAAAACCCTAGCTCTTATTACTGCACACTAATAAGCACCTGATTCCAGTCCTTAGAAACTTTAATTTATATATAGCTTTTCCATTAAGCTATCAATGCAGATCTTGTATGCAAACAAGAGCTTAGTAGAGCTCTACAGAATATACTTATCATCAGTAGTACATCTGTAAAAGAAGGAGAAGCGCGAACAACTAAACCCTGAGACCACCACATGAATTTACACCAGATGTGTAACAGTACAAAAGTGTGTGAAATTCTGGTAAGCAAGCTTCCAGTTGGCACATAAATTTATCTTATGCACATAGACATGTCTGAGTAGCAATTCCTTAGCATGGGTCTGCAAGAACTTCGAATCAAGTGGCACCAACACTGAACTGCTCCGGAACTACATCTTTCTTGTGATGTTGTAAAGAGTAAGAAAGGGGGGGGGGAAGGCATCCAGGCATATGAAATAAACAGAGAAGTCACCAAACACTGGCTTCTCTCTTTGAAGCATTTCAAATGACTAGTGGTTTAAATTATGATTAATTAACTGTTTCAGCCAGGAAATGGTGCCAAGTAGCAACTTGCCCTACAGCACAGATACATGAGGCTAATGGAAAGACCTACGATGGAGCACTGTGAGAGTGCGCATTTGTAGTGCTGAGTTCCAGTCTCGCATGCAACACCATTTTAAAGGCAGAAGCTACTCACAAATTGGCATTTTTTCGCTTTCTTAAACATGCAAGAAATTCCAACTAAGAAGACAAATTCTTTTCTAGAAATATAAAGACAAGTTACCTAGTATTCATTTTGTGTGTCTGAAAACCTAAATAGGGATCAAGAACCAAACTAGTCGCTAGGTCATCATTTTCACAGAGTTCCTTGGCAGACATTCCAGAGGAAGGCACATAACGACTTTGACCCTCAAATCCTGAAGCACCGCTACCTGCGAACAAGAGAGCATAAATTAGGTATCATCTAAGGGACATTATAAAGCCCAGCAACATTTGGGGACAGATAACCACAGGTTGGAGGCAAAAAATATAAAACGATTAAGGAAGATGATAAAATACCTATAGAAGCAGAGGCACAGTTAATTTTTCCCCTCTTGCTTTTGTTGATTTAGGTAGTGGCCAATGAAGAAAGTATTTTAGAATGTTATTTTATGGGTTTGTTTAATTAATTTTGGTTTCCTTCTCTCTTTCCTTCCCCAACTACAAGCATCTTTCCAGATTACACAGTTCAGTCATGCCTACCTCTAAAATTTCTGACCTATAAACATGATGAAGACATCAAATTTCAAACCTGACTTTCCCAAGATCTGAATAAAGGACTTAGGACTTTGAATTTGTGTTAAGTCCTTCATCCCAGATCAACAGCAAAAATGAAACCCCATATTCCTTAAAACCATTTCACAGTGATATCGATGTATGTGACTTCATTAAAAAAAAAGGGTGTTTCCTTCTACAAGCGCATTCACCAAAAGTTGGGCTAGTACTTCAAATTATGTTATCCACTTCAAATCATACTTGTTTTTACTTAGGGCCAACCATGTATCTTATAATTATACAAGTTCAAAATTAATTTGCACCCAGTTATTCTTATTTAACTTTTAAACTGATCTGAAGGGAGTTAACACATCCAAAAAATACAAACATAATTAATACTTGTGATGTTAGCTCCATGCTGACTGCAGACCTCCCTGATGAATTAAGATAAGACAGAAGTATGACTTGCAAACTGATTAATTTATCACATACAGCACTAAGCAGCATAAACATGTACATACATCTGCTTGATCTTCTCTCGACCCCGTTTTTGCCTGTCTTTGGATTCTCCTTTCCTGCATGCTGCAACTTGGTCTGCGCGTGGTCATTAGACGACTTGCTTCCACTTCTCCTGCCATTCACCACCATGTTCTTGGATTCTCCCAGCCACTTCATACCCACAGACAATCTGACTCAGTTGCATTTAGTCACTTTTCAAAAGGCTTGGAGAAGTGGATGAATAAATTCAGTTCCAATTCCTACTGGAAGTAAAACAAACATGATTAGAACTTACTGGGAAACTGTTTCCGATACACAGATTTTAACAAAAATAATAATACCCCATAATAATAATAATAAAACAAAAAAGTGGTGAGAGGGAGGAAAAAAGATGGTGATCTGCATTTGCATTAGGAAAAAAAAGAAGCAGTTCATTAGCAGTAGTACATGGAACTGTGAACAGGTGAAGTATTGTCCTACAACTTACAATGACAACTGGCAGGAGAGACTGAATTCTAAAGCTGATAAATTGCTAATGACAACTCATTTCTAAGAGCTGGACTAGACACACACATGTACCTGTACAAGCACACATACACACAGATAAACACACACAGAGTTATGTGACTCCAAACCCAGAGTACTTTCAAATACATATCCAATTAAGATTATATCTCCTAATAAATAAACCCCATGACCTATAAAGAGCTCTACAGCAAAGAATGAGATTTAAAAGCATCCTTCAAGAACTAAAGATGAACACAGTTTAGAAAAACAAAGGGAAAAAACCCAATTAGAAAGCAGACATTTTTTGAATGGGGTGGGGGAAAGATGTAAAATCTTTATTTAAAAATCAGAGATCAAAAAACCCTCAATGATGACCTCGGGGACCCAGGCTACTATTTGTACTGTTCCATATAACAAAAAATACAGTCACAACACACCTGGCTCAAGGTGACAGTACTAAGTGGGGTCTCAAGTAGAGCTGAAATTTTACAGTACATAAATGTCTAGCAAAGCACATGCTATCTTTTGTGAGCAGTCTCAATGTCTTTTGCATAAGTAACCATAAGAAAGGTAATAATGTTTTTGTACACAGTTGTGCCTCACTCTGTACAACTTGCAGGAAAAAATCTGACACTGATTTACACAGTTATTTTTGCATTTATGCATTAGTAATTCATTTGATTTTAATTCACCCTCCTCGTTGCTTCCTCACAAAGAAATAAATTGAGCCTTTTCACTTTACTGTAATTATGAAAAGAACATCAGTGCTCTGCTCACAGCAGGTAACAGGCATATTGTAAAAGGCATTTCAATCTGGTGGAAGAACGTCGCAACAAACTAACAGATGTTTGAAATACTGTCTTTTGTAGAAATTCTGCTTTTAATCAGGTAAGAGTAGTGAATTACTAGATTTCTGTTAGACACCTATGTGATCCAGCCACTGAAAACTACAGAAACGTTTATAGCCAGATGATTGGTAAATAAGTTACTTACAAAAATTCAGAAGATTGAGGTAATTAGAGAAAACAGTAGAGACAAGTGTATCACATATTAACAGATGCATTGGCTCAAACATCTTACTAGAACATATGACCCAGAAATCTACACGTCTTAGACCCTTTCACAAATTGTCACAGAAAGACAGCAAAGCCTATCAACAAAGTGTAACGGAATCATACTGAGGAAAAGCCAGATCAACTACTGCCTCAATATAAGGAAAAACAACTTTCTTGCTGCTAGTGATAGAAAGGATTTGCTTTAACCTCAAGATTAAAAAAAAAAAAATAAGAAAGGAGAGGGAGAGGGGGGGAGACAGACAGAGAGGTTTAAATGTCTATGTTACAGGACCAGCAAGTTTAACACAGCTTTTTAAGACAGTTATAACCGAACAGCTGGACTACCAGAATGAAAAAGTCACTCTGCATATTGACAAAATTCTTTAGGAAGTTATCAGACAAAGCCTAATAGAAGCCAGAAACTTAAAATTTTCTAGGGAAAACTCTATTCATTGTATTCAGCTATATGCAGAAGCAGACACTTTTACATAGTACCTCCAAAAAAATCCTTGGATAGGTTGGGTTTTTTTTCTTCCCAGAGTTTGCCTGATAACACATATCTAAAAAAAACCACCAACAAAAACCCAAAAACAACCAAACAACCAATCAAAACTTTCCTGTTAAACATCCCACCTTCTCTCAGAAGACCAACCCTGTGAAGATCTGCCACTGACTGACCATCATGTAAACACTTAATGACAAACTCTAAACTCTTAAATTTCCCTTTTCCTGTTTCCCAATCTATTCATTTTACAGGTCTATAGAGTCTAACTAAGCCCCACTCCCCGTTTTTGTAACAGTGGTAATGAAGAGCATTAAAACAGAAACTACATTAAAGACTTGCACTAAATTCAGTCTTGGTCTCTTTGTAAACCAGGACTGAACTCCACCCTGTGGTGTGCTACAGCTCAAGGGCAGTACAGGTGAATGACGTCTACCATGAAGTCTATTTGTAGAATACTGTATTGTATCCAACAATCTGAGGGAAAATGTTCCATAGGGTATTGTTCCTGATAACTAACAGATACAGTAGCTACACTTTTGGCTGAAGGAAAGGTATTTCTGCACTGAGAATGAAACCCATCTTTCGCAAGTCCAGCTGGGGAGGGTGAGTACTATCTGTGCTAACGCACCTCTGCTTAACAAGTAACAGTAAAGACAAGAAAGGAACAAAAGATAGGAAGCAATGTGGCCATAGAAGAATACTCAAACTATACTAAACATTAGGAGAAACACTTCCTTACGCTCCAAAATAGATTGATATATACAGCAACATAAGTCCTCCTCAAGCAACATTAAATCATTTAGTGAAGCCTAGCAAAATTCTGGTGAAAAATCATTATTTGTTTGAGCCTGGCAGCCTAATGAGCAAGAAAACCTTTGTCTCCATCTATTGCTGCCTTTTATTTTCTCATAGCAGCCAAATTACCAACTTGAAGACTTCAAGTGTGCTTCTTCCCCCTCTGTTCAGAGACAAGAGGCAACGGGCAGAAACTGATGCTCAGGAAATTCCACCTGAATATGAGGAAGAAGTTCTTTACTGTGTGGGTGACTGTGCACTGGAACAGATTGACCAGAGTGAGTGTGGAGTTCCCCTAACTGGAGACATTCAAGAACCATCTGGATGCAACCCTGTGCCATGTGCTCAAGGATGACCCTCCTTGAGCAGAGAGACGGGACCAGATGACCCACTGTGGTCCCTTCCAACCTGACCCATTCTGTGATTCCTTCTCTCAGTACACAAACACTGCTTTCAAGAGATGATATCGAAAGCCAGAATCAAAAGACAGGATTCTTTTCCCTATGAATGTCACAGCTGCTAATACCAGCAGAAAACCTAAAAGGGAGCAAGAGATGCCCCAGTCATCACCACCATGTGATCTTTAATACATCTTCAGATGTGATTTGTTCTCACTACTTTCTACATCAGACTCATGCTGAGAAGTCCTTTAGGAACTGAGGGGGAAAAGCAAGAGATGAACACTATCTTTCCTACTGAAGAAAAAACTCAAATATGCTTACACCACCACATAATTCGAAATGCTTGCTACAAGGGCTCTGCCATCAAAAATATAACACCACATATGGACCACTTATGACTTCAGGTTTATCTACACTGTTAAGTTTACCAGCACAATTAGAGCTTCCAAGGGACCTTTTTTACTTCAAAGTAAATGCCCACACTGCTGTTTTAACCCTACTCTTTACATTTTTAACCACTATTCCTTATAATTACGCTGCTTTTTATAATGCTATTATGGTAGTTTTACAGGCATGTTTCCTCAAATGCCAATATATAGCTCAATTGCATTCAGCACCTCTCATTGAGGTATTTGGCATTTCGTTTTAACAGTACTCTAAACGATGAAAACTCAAGTTTTGTTTACCTGTATTTAAATTTATTAAATCTATTAACATGCTTTCTGGGCATTATTTGCATTTCAATAACATTTGGAAGCACCAATCAACAACTGAAGCACAAACACCATTAATGCTGCCATCACCCAAGATACTCACAAAGCCAGTTACCCACAAGTGTCTGCCAGACTGATTAAACAGTATCATTCAGATTTATATTCCATTTGGAAAGCCTTAGTCCTTTCACACCGGGAAGTGTAGTAAATCCTTATGAATTTGAGTAAAGAAATTCTATGGCTGTTAAAATGTATCTCAAAAGTTGTCTGAGCCTCCTGGATTTTGGGTTCTCATCTGTGAAATCTATCAATTCAGAAAATTCTTGTTTTGAGGGGGAAAAAAGTTGCACAAAACCAAATCATTAAAACTCTAAACCATAGCAACAATAACACTGGTTACTATAAGAAATTCAAGTGTCAATTATTTTAGTCTTCCATAACATAGTTCTTTGCATATAAGTATTTATTACTTAAAGAACAGGGACAGTTTCTAAGATAAGCAGTGGATTTTGTTCATCCTTTCCAGGACACAAGCAAAGACACTAGGGTCAGGAGGTTTTACTAACAGGCAGGGTCATCCTCCCCTTTCCTATGGTCTCCAGTATACAGGCAGGCAAAGGACCTCCTCCTAAAATATGGTTTCTCAATATTTTTTTTAAGAATGCAAACAGCTAAATTTTGGCTCGCCTTTTTTGTTTATTAGTGGCCTAAAGCAAATATAAGACACACACAAAAACAAACCCAAAAGACCCACTGATGGCAGCCTCAGCCCTTCTGGACAAACCAGTGATATCAAGAGGAAAGATGTAGGTTTCATTATGGATAGCTCTACAAAAAGCAACAGAGCTTTGAATTTGGGAAGCAGAGCAAAACTATGCAACTAGTTTTCCTACAGGATCACCAGAGTAAAAAAGACTGGTCAAAATCAAAGCTGAATGAAAATTTGCACAGCTTTAGGGAGGTATTCAAAACAGCCTCAAATCTTATTTTGGTTACTGCCCTTGGGATGTAAATTGGAATGCTCAGTAAATTGGACCCCCAGAAAGAAAACCTGTTTTTTGAGTGTTTCTTTTCAGCTAGTTAGTTCTGAGAACAGGCTCTGTGCAGAACTGTACGTGGATTAACAGTGGCACTGGGAGGCTGCAAGATTTTGAACTGACCTGAGTCAGTTTTGACACACTGTCACAGAACTGCAGCCCCAGGATGCAGATTCGTGAAAGCACCCATGGATCCCAAACTGACCCAAACCCAGGCTTCAGTCTCCCACCAGTAGCTCAGTCTGTACATTCCCCCCTTCTCCTGTGCCAGTTCTTTTGCAACCACGTGATTTGTGTGTGTCAATTTGGATACTAATCCAAGCACAATACAGGCACAGAAACAATCCAGTACGAGCGCAAGTGAGTGGCAGAGAGGGAATTACACACACAGAAGTGCTTTAGCAGCTCCTGCCCCTGCTCCTCTGTCCCTCCATGTCCTCCACTGGGTGCCCTCTCCGGGTGAAGCTGAGTAACTGGCTAAGCAAAGCTCCCTGAAGCCTGTGGGATCCCCCCGACTGACTGCAACAACTCCAGCAGAAGTTCATAGAGACAATCCAAAACCTCACTGCTTCCAGGAGAGGGAGAACCTCCTTCCTCCTGCTTGTCAATTCACACAGACATTTCCACCAACTCTGGAGTTCAGGTCTCCACAAGCCAATTTACCTGTGTGTGTCTGTAGCACAATTTACCTGTGTGTGTCTGTAGCACAATTTACCTGTGTGTGTCTGTAGCACAATTTACCTGTGTGTGTCTGTAGCACAATTTACCTGTGTGTGTCTGTAGCACAATTTACCTGTGTGTGTCTGTAGCACAATTTACCTGTGTGTGTCTGTAGCACAATTTACCTGTGTGTGTCTGTAGCAACATGACTTACACAGGTTCAGTTCAGGGCAGTCCCACCACGGCTGTATCAAACAGTTCAATGAAGACGCCAAGCCAGCATTAACAGCAAAAGCAGCCCTGCTGCTTCCTCAACTTTTGTGCCCACTTCCATGCCATCCTCCCTCTGTGCCCACAAAACAAATACAGAGTCAAGTGACTCCAATGGTTTGGTGACCGAATCAAGGGGGGAGTCAGACAAGCCTGAACGGTGCTGTCTTGAGCTATGGCACAAGAGGATGCTGTGGGCCAGGGGGAACACACAGGGTCAGGGAAGTGGTCAGGAGTACTGAAGCTGGGACTTCTCCCAAATGCTCTGCATTCTCAAATCACAGCTCTGGATTCACTGTTGAGCACAAAACTATCCCACCTTACACTTACTATGTTAATTGAACTGTCTGTTGCTTTAAAGCACAGTGCTGTTTGAAGTGAAGAGCATACTGGGAATTGTAGTCCTGGAACAGGATAGTGCTAACAGAGCAAAACAAATATTCAAGAGCCTTGATGAGTCCTGCTACTGAGTATACAAGGATACATCATCCTACTCATTCATTTAATATGCAATACATTTAGCAACTGCTTTAAATAAATCTGATTTTCCAGTTTGTGAGCTTCGATGGGTGTAAAGCAGAGATGTCTGTGTCTATCTGGTCCTAACAACAAAATAGCCTGATTAAAAAAACACAAAAAAATCTCACTTTTCAATTAAATAAGCCTTGATTTCTTCACACATTGTTGCTTGCAAGGAATAAAGCTCAGAAAACTCAAGAGAAAAGTTCAGTTTTAATGAAAACCGAAGCGGATGCATCCAGAGCTAGAGCGACTGAATTATGGAAACAAGTCATGGCTCCGTGTGAACTTATCCTACAATACATTTTAACCTCAGTGATTAAAACCTCACACTGTGTATTTATAGTTACACTATTAAACACTTCGATCAGACTGCCATCTCATAACACAGAATCACAGAATCAATTAGGTTGGAAATGAGCTCTGAGATCATCGAGTCCAACCTATGACCAAACACCACCTTGTCAACCAGACCATAGCACTAAGTGCCACACCAGTCTTTCCTTAAACACCACCAGGGACAGTGATTTCACCACCTTCCTGAGCAGTACATTCCAGCATCTAATAACCCCTTCTGTGAAGAAATGCTTCCTGATATCCAATCTAAACATCCCCTAGTGCAGATTAAGACTATGTCCTCTTGTCCTGAGACGTGTTGCCTGAATCCAACAGACTAGAAAACTCCACAAAGTTCTACATTTCAGGTTCTCACGCTGCCTGTGACACACCTCAACAAAACACCCCGTACTCTCCCCCCCCTCCGTCCACCCCACGCTTTTAATGTTTCCGAGAGTACCGCCTTGGAGGTAACTTGACGTTAAAGTTTGAGACACAGATGTTGGACAAAGACTCGCCTTACCCCCTTCCTTGTAAGCTTGTATTCCCCGATGAAAAATCACGCACACAAAATAATAATAATAATAATAATAATAATAATAATAATAATAATAATAATAGACAACCCAAGACCTCGGGGCTCTCCACCAAACTGAGGCAAGCTAGGGAGGGTCACTCCAACCAGACCTGAAACTGCTGGCACCGGCGGAAACTCCTGGCACGGCACCCGGGCTGACCGGGCGGAAGGGGCGCGGGCCCGGCCCCGGCCCGGGCGGCACCGCCCCCGCCCGCTGTGCTGCCCTCTGGCGTTCGCCTCCCGGCGCGGCCCGGCCCGGCGCGGCCCCCACCGCCCCCGGCCCCGGGGTGGCGGCCCCGCCCGCAGCCGTCCCTCCGGCCACGGGCCCCCGCTCCGCCCGCGGCTGTCACTGCCCCGGCGGCCCCCCCGCCCTGCCCGCGGGGCCCCGCACGCCGCCGGGCCCCGGGCGCGGCCCCTCACCGCCCCCCCCCGCGGAGGGGCGCAGCCCCCTCACGGCCCCGCCGCCTCTCCCGCCCCGCAGAGCACACACAGACCCCCTACCAGAGACCCGCACTCACCGCCCCGCGCTGAGTCTTTCACTGCCGGCGCTGCTCCCGCTGCCACGGGGGGAAAATGAATCATCAAAGGGAAGGCAGCGGGGGGGGAGGGAAAGGGAGGAAGCTGATGGGGGGAAAGCGAAGATCGGGCGAGGGAGAGGCGGAGCGGGGAGGAAAACTAAGGGGGGGGGGAGAAAAAAAAAAAGCGGCGATAGTGATAAAAAATAATTCCGAGTGGGGGGAGGAAAAAAATGGCGGATTAAAATCCAAGATGGCGGCGCCGAGGGGCTAGCGGCACCGGGGGGAGGCGGCGGGGAGAGCCGTCTGGAGATCCCTCCGCCGCGCCCCGCGAGAAAGAGTCCCTCGGGCTCCCCCGCAGAGACCCCGCGGGGTGGCGGCGAGGACCGGCCGCCGCTTCCTCCTCCTTCTTCTCCTTCCCTGCGGGGAGCCCTCGTTCCGCCGCGCTGCCAAGCCAGGCGGGCGTCGCGCCGGTCGCCGCGCCCCGAAGTTTCTTCTTGTTCCTCCCAGCGGATCCCGCGACCTCCTCGCCCCGTCCGGGGAGACGCCGAGTGCCCCTGCGCTCCCGGCGGCGGAGGGACACCGCGGACACCCGTCGCCGCCGCACTCCCGCCGCCGCGGAAGGATACACCTCTCGCAGGGAAACACCACTCGCCCCCAGCCGCGCCGCTCCCGCCGCCGCCTCCTCCCACCGCCGCCGCCGCCGCCTCACCGCGGGCGGCGCGGGGGCAGCCGAGGCAGCGCGTCCGGCCGCGGAGTGGGGACGGCGGCGGCCGCGGGCCCCATGTCCGCCCTGCGTGGCGGAGGGATCCCGCTGAGGGAGGGAGGGAGGGAGAACGAGGCCCGGGTCGCCTCGCACGGTCGTGTGCGGGAAGAAGAGCCGGCCGCGGGATCCCTCCGCGGAGCTGCCCTTTAAACGCGGGGGACTCCCTGCCGCGGGGCGAGTGCCGGCATGGGGCTGCGATGTTTGTGGCTCTGCCGCCTCCCGGAGCCCCTTGCCCATCTGTCCCGGGGGTCTGTGACGGGACAGCGCGTCCTGCCTTGCCTGAGCGGGGAGCGGGCACCGCAACCTCAGCGACTCCGGCACCTGCTCGGCCGGAGCCGCTGCCTGACAGAGGCATTTAAAAATGGCCCCCGCGGGCCGGAGGGGCTGGGGCGGCACCTCCCTCCGTCCCCTCCCGGGGCAGCCCCGGGGGCACCGGCACTGCCCGGTGTCCGCGCCCCTCACGGCGGGGCGGTGCCGCGGGCTCCCCCCAGCGGCGGGGCGGGGCAGCGCCGCCGCCGGGCTCCGAACAAAGGCGGTGCGTGGCTGTCGCGCCCTGTCGCGATAGCGGGGCGGGGAGGGGCGGTCGCGATACCGCCCTAGTTCAGGAACAGGCTGAGCTAAACGCGTTGGTGGGAGAAAAGGCTTTTCAGTGCGGTAGCTGCTGAGCGCTTTGGCGTTCACAGGGATTGGAAAGCTCGGAATTCAGGGAAGCTGGACGTTCAGGAATTTTACGACGGGCTTAATGTTTCATGTCATCTCTTCTGTATTTTGGATGTGCTTATAACAGAACGGACTGTTCGCAAATACCAGCTTTATTTTTATACGTTTCCTAAAGCTTTCAGATTGTTTGCACTTGGTCTAAAGTAACCAGAAACGTCTGTGGAAGAGGAACGGATTTGCCATGTAACACCTCTCCTGTCAACAGCTACTCACCAGGAGTACCAAATCCTCAGTTTTGTTCATAGTAGGATGCTAAAGATTTTTAATAAAATATAATTTTGCATGTGACGTTGTTTAATTTTGCTTTAATATCACAAGTGAGATGATATTGGAAAGGTCATGTGTCTCAACAAGCTAAATTGCTAGGGAAATTGATTTTACTATAATTTCATAACAAGAAATTTCCTCTGAAGCTGAGATTTTGCCTGCCCAGTTGTTAAACCAGATTAACACAGACCTATGTAGATAAATTATAAACCTCTGAAAGATTTAATTCAAGCTGGAATGGACTGTCAGAAACATCACAAGGAGTGACACTGTGATAATATCAGTAACAACTTGTGTTTATATTTTATAGTGCACCAGGTTGCTCTGTATATTTATGGGAATGCCTACACTCATCTTGGAAGGTTAGATACAGCTAAACTGGGAGATACTGAGTTCAGTCCCTACAGCAAGGAGAATTTTTCATAGCTCCAACAATGGTTGGTGAGTCTTAATGTGGTTGAAGCAGCACACATCAAAAAACCCCATTTATATCCCTTTGATAGACTCCAGCAGGTGATCTGGTAACAAAGCCCTGGCTACATCTGAAAGGATGATACTTTTTTTTCAGAATTCATTAGTTTAAGATTTATTTCCTCTGCTATGCTGGTAAAAGTTATAAAGTTAAATAAATAAAAAAATAAACACTGTTTCCAGTCTAATTACAGTTGGGTTTGTTATTTCTTCTATGTTATTTCTTCCATTATAGGCTTTTGATTCAATAAAACAATGCTTTTGAAAATAAGGAACTTGGGTGGTCAAACCATGGTCAAAGAGGATGCTTCAAGAATAAATTTACTATGTTAAACATGTGCCCATTATTTTTTTTCTGGAAACCAGCAGATACATGTCAAGTATCTCCATCTTAATGTAATGTTGGAAATTTATTGTGTTTTTTATAGTGAACAAACCTTAGGTAGTTTCAACATTGGTTTCACTTTCTAAATTAATGCTACTGCATCAGCCTAAACCTTCACCATAATGTGAAAAATCTCAGATAATAAACCTTTACTGTTTTCTACTTAATTATCCAAGGGTGGTCATGATGGCATTATTTGTTAAAGGTGTAAAAATTCCAGTCAGTCACATGTTACTCAAGTTGTCTATGGCAATTTTGTGACTTCTACTGGAGAGTTTTTTTCTGGTACTATTAGATGGAAACATTTTGAGCATGCACAGGACAATGGGTAAGTTTATTTCAGTGTACATTGGCAAGAATCATTAGTCTTTGTTCCCAAAGTAGCCTTCCTAAATTATTGCAGTTATAAAAAATTTCTTTTTGCAGATTTTGTAGATGTTCCCACTTTGGGAATAGTTTTTACATTTTCAACATCCCATGTCCCATGACAGTACAATCCTAATATCGCAAACATTTTTGGTCATCCAGTTGTTACTGAAAAATTGTAGTCATTAAAATATTTGTGTGATGAGGGGTTTTGTACAAACTATGTCTTTTAAGAGGCAAAAGGTGAACTTTAGACTTGAGTTACATGTAGAATTTGCTGGTGCATTGCAATCGCTGGGGCTTTGTGTCGGTCCAGACTCCTGCTCATAGCTGCAGAGCCAGAATCCAGCCCAAAGCCTCCCTGTTCCAGACCACCTCTGCAACAAAACCTTTCCATTGATATGAAGCCAAATCCAGCTTAAGCTGAAAAAGATACAGCTCTAGCTGAGCAAATGATGTTTTGTGCCTGTGTGTCCACTCTTACTTTATTCGCAAATCTGAGCTAAATACTGTGGGTAATTTGGAGATCTACAAACGTATAATTACAATTGAAAAGTCCATCACCTGCCTGACAGTTCTACTCAGCCATTTGGGGTTTTTTTGCTTACTTTTATTCTGTAGTGCTTTTACACAGACCCAGCATAAGCAGTTCTGAAACGGACGTCTGGGGGTGTTTCTGTGCCAGCGTCAAAGCAGGGTGGTCATACATGTTCTGGCTCTTTAGCAGGCCTGCCAGGCTATAAGGCACCTTCATGCCACAGAAGTTTTAAAGCACACTGTGACTTGTGCTGTGACTTGCATAGAACTTATTTTGGAATTTTAGACTGGAAATACTGTGACAAAGCCCTTACTTCCAGTTACGCCAATTTTCCAAGCCCAGCAATATCACTGAGTGAACTACAAGGAAGGAGCCAAAGTAAATCATCAGGTGTAATGAGTTTGGTCTTGCATTCATGGTGATGTTTTGTCTTCTGTGCACAGCAAGGAGATGCTCTGTAGCCCTTATTTTCACTATTGGGAAGAAATGATGATATGCAAAGTTCCACATTGTGAACGACACTTTCCTGTTGGCATGGTCACATGAGAATTTGTTTCCTTTGTATGCTGGGTGAGAACATACCTTCCTGTGACACCTTTGAGAGGATTGTTCCCTTCCCTCTGTGCAGGAGCAGGACCTTCAGCACGATCCACCATGCCTCTATAAAGGTGCTGTGAGGGAGACCGTGACCGTCAAGGTGTAATCACCTCTGGCTGGTGTCACAAGTTGGCTTCAGTTACAACCCCAAAGTTGAACATCCCAGATGAATATATGTAGGAATAAAATTAAAGATGTTTCCCGCCAAAATCTTAATAATTTATCAAAAATGTACGTATTCTTAGTAGCAGATGGTCAATAATAGATGATAGATGGCCTGCTCTGTGTAAATTAATGGCTGTAATTCACTTGAGGGGATCTGCTGATGTCATAAGCTGCCAGAGTGCAGCTTGAGTGATTTATTAACAGCTGCAGAAATCCTAGACTGAATTACATCCTTGTATTCACTTATGGTTTGCGGATTTTTATTTATAAACTGTGTAGGTTTGTATTTCTTGGTTATTGTAGGGATCTCTTCTGTGACTCTAAGAAGGGGCACAGTGAGGAAATGCTGACTATAAAAGCTCAGCTGCCTGACTGCACTAAAGGCAGATTTTTCAGACATTGTCCACTGATGCTTATCAACAGCAACTCTTTCCATTATTTTTGAAACAGTCTAATCAATATCTGCAGAGGTTTGCATAAGTCCTGTTTTAGGTTTTGTTTCCCCCCCACTGTCAAATATAAATCATGTCAATATCTTCAGATATCATTCAATGTTGTATTCATTGCTTCTGTGCACACTGAGTTGTGTCCAGCACAAAAAGGTAGGAAACGGTAGAGAGACGAACAGGAATAAGTGTTCTCTCTAATAATAACTGGCTTTTTCTGTTTAGGAAGAAGGCAACAGATATAGAAGGCTAGAAAAGGTGCCTGGAAACCAAAATTATTTGTGTATAAGGAAGAGACTATTCCTGTTCAGAGAGAAAACCCTTCCTTTGCTCCACAGAATTCCTGTATGGTGAAAATCAAAATTTTCTGAATATGGATCCCAGTTTTATCACACCCTTCTAACATGTGAGCATATGCAAGCAAATGAAATATTAATTTCTGTTCCTTTTTCCTCCTCCCCAAAAATTAGGAGCTGATTAGGATGATACTAAATCCTGTTTCTCAAACATGGGGTACATTTCCAAAATGAAATGCAAGTTGTAGAGGAAGAGAAAAAGGGAGATGAGAATAAATTATGAAGAGTTGCATGGCAGGAAGGAACAGTCGGAATTAATTTGCAAATAACTATGCACATTATATTTGCTAAAGATGCAGAATTTCCTGAGAGAACTCACATCAAGTGTTTGGATGCTGGTTAGATCCCAGTGAAAACCCTTCCAGCCTTCTCTCTTCTCTCCTCCCTTCTCTGAGATTAGTTTTATTTGTTGATAGTTAGATTTTACAAGTCCTTGGGAGAGTGCTGCAAGGAATGCTGCTTTGCTACCAAACAAACACTGCTTTACTCCTGCTTTCCTTCACCAATGTCTGTCTGGCCTGTCTCTGCATAAGAGATATGAATAGCAAGAAAGCAGTATTTGTACAGAAAACAAAGGTTAGAATTTGAAGAAAAACAGGCTCCAGAAATTGTTCGCTGCCTTGAGGCAAAG